GTACATGTATAAACAATATTTTATCTAACTAAACCATATCTAAAATGATAAAAGTTTCATATATCTAATGTTATAGTCACAAAGTTTACCCTATAAATAAAAGGAATGAAGAAACGACATCTGAATTATATTTATCAAGATAAAATAAGTATACAAAGACATGTTTACAACTCCTGTGGCCCTATATAGTAAAAATAGGATCAATAGGAACTGCTTATTAGATCGAAACGAATGAAATGCAGTGAAATTTATTGATATGCATACACAAGGTGGGCCCCTCATCTGCTCATGAGGCAGCCTTTGCCATGCTTACTACTATGTTACTACGTACGTTAATTTTAGAAGACACATTTGTAAATACAGTGGTTCCCGTTTTATCGAATAGTCAAGTTGTCAGCCTAGTTTTATCCGAATAGCCGAAAATTAGAATAGCCGATTGCTCCATACCGAGTCCAAAGATAGATGTATAGAGCTACATGTATTGATAATACATCGTAGCTAGCAAATTTCAAGCTTGCACTTTCGTTTTCTTTTGACATGTTTACTTAATGACTTTACTAAAAATAATTTATTTCACTTACTTATGAATTTAATATGAAATTTTTTTTCAAATAAATTGACGTATAGAATATATTCTTTGATAGTTATTGCCATCTTTCTTCAGCACATGTTTACATTCCTTCTTCGACGGTCGCCATTTTGGAAACGGAAGTAGACTAAATGCTTGACTAATAACCGTAAACTATTTTTCCCTGGATAGATTGTAAATTAAAAATAAACAAAAATATTAAATATATGTAATTGTTTCCTTTTGATTTGTTACTTTAATACGGTTACATATTTTATACTGTGTGTGAGTTTACCAGTCTCGTTCTTGTCTGCTGAAGAGAGATTTTGAGAGCCATGTGGAGAAAGATGGTATGAATTTTGAGACGTATTTTTATAGAACGAGCCATTTGTGATTTTTACCATAAATTTTGCACTGAAAAGTGAATAAATATTAAGCCAATTGACCAAGTTAAACGATTGAATAGGTTTATTTCATTATCCAAGCAAATTGTCATACACAAGCTAATCAGTTCAATAATTAAAATTTCACACCGAAAAAAATTGCAAATAATTGTCATAATTAACAAGTGCATCATTGAACCCAAGCTGATCACCACAACTGTAATCAAAACATATCTATTTACTATGCCCACTATTGACACAGGTAAGGTGCCTGTGTGCATCCAGGCGTAACTAATCCCCTCATTGTCGTTCTCAAGCCAGTCAAGGTAATTGGTGTCAAACTGTGTAAACAAAGGCTTCACATACGAAGTTGGAGGTGTGAACAAGGTGCTGATTATCAAAAAACACTATGACAGTCCAAATTTTTGTATCGGATAAAACGAAATTCCAGTATTTTCTCATCAGAATATCAGGTGAAATTATTAATAAATATATAAGAAATGGTTTTGTGCTCTGATATTATATTGAAATAGCCGAAATATTCGTTAAACCACTATCCGATAAAATGGAAGCCACTGTACCATCTTAACACTCCTTAGTCATGGTATACTTAATTCACGATATGTTTCAAGAGTGTAGGATTCTTATAAGTTAAAGATATATCATAAGATTGATACGTCGCCGTTGTTATTTTATTACATGAACTAACCCTCTGTGGCCACATGTTGTGGGCGCCAAAGGAGAGTAAAACAAAAGCCGTTGTTCTGATAAAAACGGATTTTGATGAAATTTTATTTTATAAAGTTGATAAACAATAAAAAAAAACTTATTTAAATAATCTTATTAAAAAAAACTTTTCACTCGGCACAATTTAAGTGGTTCGGTCGCATTAGGGGAAACAAAGGTATATTTTATTTTGGCCTTGTCTATTTCAATTTTGGCCACGGGTAAAATGAGATTGAACAAGAATGACCATTTTTATTTTTAACATGTAATTATAAACAAGATAATTTTGAAAAAAAATAATTTAATACTTTTATATTTTGTGTTAGAAGAATTGTGGTTAAATCTCGTTACGTATTAATTTATGACATTGTGCATCATTCAATGAATTGGCAGTTTACTATGCTGGCTGTTTGTGTATATCCAGCATGCTACAAATCCCAACTGCGGGAAGCACGGCATTAAATCACAAATTGAATAAACAAAAGACAACCAAAAAAATTGAAAATAAAACAATGAATCCAAAAAAAAGGGAGAGCTACAAAGTTAAAATTATTAGAGTTGGTGTCTTTCATAAATATTAGCTGGTCTGCAGAGTGAAGTTCATATACGACGAGTCTGAATAATGGTACAGTTTTTTTGGTGTGAAATGCACGAAAACTGATTATATTTAATTTTCACTAGGTAATAATGAAAATATAGCAGATACTTCAAGGAACCTATATACTTAGTATATAAGTCCCTGATACTTCAACAAGAATATAAATGAATAAATAAAAAAATAACAAATTTATTAACAAAAACAAGTGCACATTTTTTTCAAGTTTACTTTCTGTGGACAGTCCCATTTGTCTACGGTCTATCCCAATTTAAAATGAGGTAGTCCAATGGGCTATTTCATTCTCCAGGTTTTACATAGGGATACATAAGAAAATTCTTTAAAAATCTTTTTCAAGAACAGCAAAGCGAGGATTAGTCATATTCTCGGTTAATGTACATTCAAGGTTGTTCAAATCATGTGGGGGGGGGGGGGGGGGGGGTCCTGGGGCATTGAAATATCTTGCATGTGTTGTCAGGCCCATAACTTTTATTTGGTTTCAAGTTTTTGCAAGAAATTTTTCCACACATTGGTATATTGCTAGACAGTGAACTTATCTACGTGTATTTGTTATTATTAAGGTAAAAGCCATGAAAAATGGAGAGTTTATTTTCAGGGCTCTCGATTCTCTATAATTGGGGCCGTTGAACGGCCCCGTTCCAAATGCAAAAAAGGTACCTTTTTTCCCAAAAGAAAGGTGTAAAATTGCCAATTTTCTGTTGCAAAATATTTTTTTAAAAAAATCAAATTCAATGAAACTTAATCGCCAAAAGGCAAACACTTACAAGTGAAAGTGAAACAAATAGGTTCAATGTACGACTGTATTAATTAGTTCACATCATATATATATATTCGTAAACTGGTTCAGGGAACCAGGTTATTGTTATAACGCACTTGGGTAACAATGAGCCATAATGAGAAGTATTATGTCTGACTCAATAAAATTGACAAGAAAACATCACCTAGGTACCATAAAATAGACATTTTATTTAAACAACAGTAAGCTGCGCCTAGCACCATGTGCGCCAGTCAGTTTCCCGCTTAATCTGAAAACCATGATGACCATGTGATCAAGGAAATTTGGGAGGACTAGCGACTGTCACTCAGAAAAACAAATAACCACAATTTCAACATTCAAAGTTAGTAATGAGCAAAGCCAATGTACTTCCATAAATTTCCTATCCATATTTGTTCTGTTTAACACTTTATTCAAAACCAGAATTGATGACAAAATGCTAGAAAAGCAAAATTTGAGTTTTTTCTTTTTGAATGTTGGATTTCCCAATTTTCCCAAAATGATGGTAATTTCCCAATTTGAACGGCCCGGGCCCCAGTCCCAAAAAGTGGTGTGAGAGCCCTGATTTTATTAAAAGAAATTTGAATTTTACAAGTGAAGTAACACCTTTCACCTCCCATGTTGCTGTTTGAATTTACCTTGTCAGCATTAATTAGTGACACAGATGAAATGCATAAACAATCCTCTTATATTGGTAAATTCAAAACACACATATCCGGGGTAGAAGAATTAAGGTGGTAATAGAAATATGAGGAAAATAAGTCGCATTAATGAAAATAAGTTTAGCCCACCCCTCGGGCCTGAGGAGGACAGGGACCGTGAAATTCAAAATCTTTGTACCCCTTCACCCATAGATGTTATATACAGGAAATTGTTGAAATTGGTTCAGAGGTTCCAGAGAAGTTGAAAATGTTCAAATGATGAACAATATTGGACAAAAACAGATAGTAAAAGGTCATGCACTTGAGTGACTCAGGTGACCTTATAATTTTATGGCTAAAGCTTAGGTTTATAAGCAAACAAAATTACTTTAATACAAACCAATGGACAGTCCCAGATTAACATCCCCAACTTAAGCAAAAGTGGAGGACAAAATGTTGGTCAGAACAGTTGACAATAATAAAAATATTTTTGTAAGTATTTAGGATTATCAATTTTAGCTTGGTTTATGACAGATAAAACAGCCTCGAAATACTGGCAAAATTGACTTTGCCATTTGTTTTTTGAATGATCGCCTGCTTCTAAGCTGGTTAATTAATTGATTCCTTACTACAATTCACAAAATCAATAATATTAACGAACTATAATTTAATATGGCTGGAAATACAAAAACAGTGGCACAAGTTTAATTTCTAACATAAGCTGTCAGTGATGATACTTGTTGAACATCTGTTAACATAAGCTGTCAGTGATGATACTTGTTGAACATCTGTTAACATAAGCTGTCAGTGATGATACTTGTTAAATATCTGTTTACAAAAAGCTGGCAGTGATGATACTTGTAAAGCATCTTTTAACAAAAGCTGGCAGTGATGATACTTGTTAAACATCTGTTAACATAAGCTGGCAGTGACGATACTTGTAAAACATCTGTTAACATAAGCTGGCAGTGATGATACTTGTTCAACATCTGTTAACATAAGCTGTCAGTGATGATACTTGTAAAACATCTGTTAACATAAGCTGGCAGTGATCATACTTGTTAAACATCTGTTTACATAAGCTGGCAGTGATGATATTTGTTGTACATCTTTCGGGTCTGAACTGATTCTGAAGTCAAACAAACACTGAAGTCGGCTTTTAAATACCTATTAAGAAGATAGTTGAAATCTGAATTTAGAACAGCTGCTATATAATTTCTATATGGTTTGGCAGGTTTGATTGCGGTACATTGGATCAAATATATGGATAATGTTTTGATATTGGTTGCAGGTTGTTACAAGATCACCACAGTATTCAGTCATGCTCAGACGGTGGTTTTATGTGTGGGATGTTCCACAGTACTGTGTCAACCCACAGGAGGAAAGGCCCGACTCACAGAGGGTAAGTGGTCAAGGAATTGTTATTTCTAAAGAAGAAAAAGCCAGACTTAAGAGAACCATTGATCAAGAAAGATTGAAAAGTGTCCCAACTTGTACAAGATCAGTTAAGCATGAAGATTAAACAAGAAATTGTGTGAAGGCAAGTTGTGGAGCTATAAATGATGTCACACATTCTAAATGTTAGATTGCACACATCTGTGAAAACACATTTAAGTGCAGGAATGTAATTTAATGCATATGTTTATAATCTTCAGCCAATACTGATTATTTTTTTGTTGTGATTTGTATTTTGAATTTCTTTGTAGGCTGCTCCTTCCGTAAGAAGTCACACTAGATTGACATTATTTATATTGGCTGTGTGAGAATGAGAGGCTGAGGAGGAGGGGTTGGCACGGTAACTGCCGTCAGAATTTGGACTTTGTGATACTCTCTATTCCCTGGACAGCATGGACTGTGTGCATAATTTATTTCTCATCAACAAACCTGGGTGGTACATCATATGATTTATCTGACAGGATTCTTAGTAAACACCCAGGATATACTCTACTACTGTACTTGTACACTCTTTTTTGTGATAGTTGCTATGTTAGAGTGCTAATTGTTGCTATCTTTTTTTTTTTAACAAAACCACTTTGATAAATAATAAATTTTAGGGTATCACAAACTCCAGATAGTGTTTTAGTTATTTTTTCTTGATCCTAAAGGCCTGTAGTACAGTACAGGTTGTTAATTTACCGGTAGTAGCAGGCTATCTGAAGCATTAGTTGGCTTGAACATAAATCTGCAAAGAAATTGTATCTAGTAGGAAACGAGACAAAACTTGCAAAAGGGTGAAAATGAGTATACATGAGGTGTGAAAAGTAACAGGTGTCTACTTTATTATATTTGGCTGTGTATTCTTTTTTAGGTCACCTGAGTCACTCAGGTGACCTATTGCTATCTGTTTTTGTCCTTTGCCGTGCGTTGTTTGTAAACTTTTCACATTTTCCACCTCTTCTCAAAAACCACTGCGCCAATTTCAACCAAACTTGCCACAAAGTATCCCGAGGTAAAGGTGATTCAAGTTTGATCAAATGAAGGGACACGCCTTCTTCCAAGGGGAGATAATTAAGAATTAGTGAAAAATTAATGGCATCTTTTAAAAATCTCCTTCTCAAGAACCACTGTACCAGGTAAGATGAATCCTCAGGTAGTAGACTCAAGTTTGTTAAAATCATAACCTCCAGGGGTATGGTGGGGCCACAATGGACGATCAAAGTTTACATAGGAAAACATAGGAAAAATCTTTAAAAATTTTCTTTTCCAGAACCACTGGGCAAAGAAAGATGAAACTTGTATGGAAACATCTTCAGGTAATGAAGATTCAAAGTTGTTAAAATCATGATCCCCTGGGGTAGGGTGGGGCCACAATGGACAATGAAAGTTTTACATTGGAATGCATATAGGAAAAATCTTGAAAAAATTCTTTTCTCAAGAACATCAAAGCCATGATTGGTTATATATACATGGAAGCATCCTCAGGTTGTATAGGTTCAAGTTTGTTCAAATCATGACTCTGGGGATAGGGTTGGGCCACAATGGACAGTCAAGGATTTACATATGAATATATGGGAAAAATCTTTAACAATCTTCTCAAGAATAGGAAAGCCATGATTTGTCTTATTTATATGGAAGCATTCTTGGGTAATGTTAATTCAAATTTGCCCAAATCATGACCCCCTGAGGTAGGAAGGGGACACAACAGATGATCAAAGTTTTAGTTAGGAATATATAGGAAAGATCATTTAAAAATCTCAAGAACAACAAAGCCATGATTAGTGATTTTAATACAGAAGCACCTTCAGGAACTAGTAGTGTAGATTCAAGATTGTTCAAATCATTACTCCGTGGGGTAGGGTGGGGCCATAGTAGAAAATAAAACATAGGAAAAAAATCTAAAAAAAAAAGGGGGGGGGCAGATCAGAACTTATTAGCAATTCTCTGAAACCACTTAAACTTCTTTGCCACGCATGGTCATCGATTTGATGAAACTTTGCCCATTATTACATCTTGACACCAGAAACATATATCAAATAAAATTTCGTTGCTATGTGTCGTGGTTGCCATGGTAACGGCCAGAAAAGTTGAAAATATTGAGATTTTCAGCTACTTTGAATCTTTATTAAGCCTTAATAAAGACAAGGAAAATTAAACAAACCATTCTCACAAAAACATGACACCTTGTTGCCGCTTATGCTATAAAGAAACTATTTAGAATTTATCTCTTAAGTAAGTGGTTACCATGGGTACATTTGGAATACATTTTGGATGCTGAAAAATGCTCAGTATTCACTAATGATAGAAGTTACATGATCAAACTCAATCAACAACCAAAGAAAAACAATAAAAATATTTTACCTTAAGTAATTAGGTATTGGCAATATTATTCTAAAAATAACTTTCATGGTTGCCATGGTAACACAGTGTAACCATGCAAAATCTGTTGCTAAGAATGGATTAATGCTACTATCTTGAGGAAAAACAATAAAATTCATGACCGGCACATATCCTTAGGACCTTGCAACACCGACAGCATAAGAAAAATTGGGATTTATTGTTACTTTGCAGTGTAACCATGGAAACAAGGTACCAGTTGTTTAAAGTGATATTTTTTTCCTGATTTAGGAATTTATTTTTACATTTTAATCAAGAAACATAATTATTATTAGACTCATCTTGAATAGTACTTATCTGGTAGAACTAAAGTTGAATATCATATATTGATAATGTTTATTGAAAGTACAACACTGTTGCTATGGTTACCAAGAAGGAAAAATGTTCGAATTTGTTAATTTTATATCAATATTAAATCCTATGTGTCAGCTTTTTGCGTCCAGTTAGAGATTTGGTGGTAGTCAAAACTGAAAGTCAGGTTAGTTGTTCATATACATTGTATATCAATCACAAAAGTTTTGGGAATCTACATACAAGGGTACGTATCCAAGGAAACAGAATATTTTTCAGATTTTTATGCATATTTTTTCGGCTATTTTCCATAGCAACGCTCTATTTAAAGAAATGGATTTGAATTTTTTGAAACGTGAAAATTAAGTTCACATCAACGCCTTTAAAAATTGATCATCATTTATATAGAAATATGCTTTTTAAAAAGATAGGATAAGATTAAAACACTAAGATAGTTCATTTAAAATCCCTTTGTGGTATTAAAACCATGGCAACCATTGCCAACCTATATGAAATATCATATTTCGTCCTTGGTATATATTACAGGGATCTCTTGTCTATTATTTGCTTGCATTTCAACCTATAATTGTTTTTATTCTTAAGTGTATGCCTTTATAAAATTAAATGAACAAAATTATTACTTTTGAATACTTTGTTTCCTTTGTAACGTATGTAATCGTTGATTTACCAAACATGTTTATCATCCTTTTAAGACATTACGGCTTCAACTTTCAGAAACAGTCACTGCCACTTGTTCGCTTTGCTGCAAACGTTAACTGTGGGACTCTGAACATTTTGAAAAATGCCATTTTTCAAACTTTAGGACATGTTGCTATGGTAACCATGACACGTAGCAACCAATTTTTGCTTGATTTGAGTATACGGTATCAAAGACTTTTATCATAGAGAGTTTGGAGAAATTCTGAGACTATGCGTGCCACAACTCCTATATAAAAGTTCAAGTCATTACAGAGAATGGCTCTTAATTTATGAGTTTTTATTAATACTAGACTAATTATTTCAATGATCCTGATCATTCTATTTCTCTTGCTTTTGGGCAACAAAGCTGCTTCTATCAGTTTATTTTATACTCTGGATCCTCTATGGATTGTTGTTTTATACTCAGGTGACCATTAAGGCCCTTGGGCCTCTTATTGATGTATTCTTTTTCACTCACCTGAGCCGAAGGCTCAAGTGAGCTTTTCTGATCAAAATTTGTCCGTTGTCTGTCGTCGGTGTCGTAAACTTTTCACATTTTCATCTTCTTCTCTAGAACTACTGGGCCAATTTCAACCAAACTTGGCACAGAGTATTCTTGGGGGAAGGGGATTCAAGTTTGTTCAAATGAAGGGCCACGCCCTATTTCAAGGGGAGATAATAAAGAATTAGTGAAAAAATTAATAGCATCTTTTAAAAATCTTCTCAAGAACCACAGGGTCAGGAAAGATGAAACTCATGTGGAAGCATCCTCAGGTAGTTTAGATTCAAGCTTGTTCAAATCATGACCCCCGGGGTTAGGGCGGGGCCACAATGAAGGATCAAAGTTTTACATAGAAATATATAGGAAAACCCTTCAAAAATCTGCTCAAGAAAAGCAAAGCCAAGATGAATCATATTTATATGGAAACATCCTCAGGTAGTGTAGATTCAAGTCTGTTCAAATCATGGTCCCCATGGGTAGGGTGGGGCCGGATTGGAGGATCAAAGTTTTACATAGATATATAAAGAAAAAATCTTTATAAATCTTCTTCTCAAGAACAGCAAAGCCATGATGAGGCATATTTATATGGAAGCATCCTCAGGTAGTGTAGATTCAAGTTTGTTAAAATGATGACCCACGGGGATAGGGTCGGGCCACAATGGGGGATCAAAAATTTTACATAGGAACATATAGGAAAATATCTTCTCACAAAAACTGAAAATCGTGTTTAGTCATTTTGATATGATAGCATCCTACGGTAGTGTAAATTCAATTTTGTTCAAATGATGACCCCCGGGGGTAGGGTTGGGCCCAATGGGGGTAGAAAGTTTTACATAAGAACATATAGAAAAAGTATTTCTTCTCAAGAACAGAAAAGCTATGTTTAGTCATATTGATATGGAAGCATCCTCAGGTAGCGTAGATTCAAGTTTGTTCAAATGATGACCCCTGGGATAGGGAGGAGCCACAATGGGGATCAAATTTTTACAAAGGAATATATGGGAAATTTTTTTTAAAACCCCCGGTAATCTTTTCTATACTGAACTGATTTGTGCTTTGGCCTAGCCAATGTGCTCAGGTGAGCGATGTGGCCCATGGGCCTCTTGTTGCACTTTTGGCAGAAAGCAGCATCTTCTTAATCAAGTAAATAGCTAAATGTCTTTAAGTGCCAGTTCAGAAAGTTTAATGTTGATAAATCAATTTCTGCCAAATGTTGTACATTCTAAATGTAATGCAATTACAGTACTGAATTGAACTCGAGTCATTTTTGTGACCTCTCTGTAGCCCATTCTCTGTCAGTGCTGGGCATCACTTTGGTCATTGAAAATCTCAAGAATAAATCTATAAAAATCTTAAGAACCACTGGGCCAGAAAATATGCTAATGTGTAAACTTTTTGATATAGATTATGCTCTAAACTGTTCAAATCGTGCCCCCGCCCCCCCCCCCCCTGAAATAGGTCACGATAGGGAATGGAAGTTAATAGGTCACAGAATGGAGTTGAAATTAAAAGGTCACAATCGGGAATGGAAGTTTTATCTAGGAATATATAATCTTTAAAAATCTTATCAAGAATCATCCTCCTTCTGTCTGTCCGTCTGTCTGTAAATAATTTTTCAAAACGCTACTCCTCCTACATTTTCGGTCTGATTTCATTATAACTTTGCAAACAAGTAGACTACACTGAGATACATAATTCCTTGTATCAATAACGGTGTTGTTATTGTTACTAAAAATAACAATTTCTGTGATGCTACTCCTCCTACAGTTTTAGTCTGATTTCAATATAACTTGGCACACAAGTAGACTACACTCAAAGATACATAATTCTGTATATTGGTTTTTGATTTCAATGAACGATGTTGCCATGGTTACTGATATCATCTATAGCGTCCATAAAGTATCAGGAATAATAGTAAAATACTAGTGTATGCTCAATTAAGAAGTCCCATGCCTTAGGCGGGGGAATGCATGTAAAGTAAAATATAATGCCCGAAGCGACCAACCCAAAATCGTCGCCGTAAACGGGAAAATCGAAGGTTTTTACAACGTTTGGATATGAAGCTCTCTCAGTCTCAACTAGATAGCTGCAGTTCTGCAGTTATCAACAAGGGAAAATGTTCGATTTTGTAAACTTTATAGCAATATTAAAACCTATGTCGTAAGTTTATTCATCCCCTTAGAGGTTATGTAATAGTCAAAACTGAAAGTCAGGTTAGTTGTTCATAAACATCAATCAAAAGTTTTGGGAATCTACATACAAGGGTATACGGAAGCCGGTTGGTGCCAGGTAGAAAAAATATTTTATCTGGCGGCCGCCAGATAAAAAGATCTTGCGACCACTAGAAAGTTATCTGGCGGCCGCCAGATAAATAGATCTGGCGGCCGCCAGTTATTTATGTGGCGGCCGCCAGATAAAATATTTTTCTACCTGGCACCTACCGGCTTCCGTAAGGGTACGTATCCAGGAAGCAGAATATTTTTCAGCGTTAAAAATTACTTTTCCCTATAATTTCCATAGCAACGCTCTATTTAAAGAATTTAATTTGAATTTATTGAAATATGTGATAATTAAGACCACATTAATGCCTTTAAAAATTGATCACCAGTTATATAGATATGTGCTTTTTAAAAAGATAGGATCAAATTAAAACGTACAGAGAGTAAATTTAAAATCCCTCTGCGGTATTAAAACTATGGCAACTATTTTCAACCAATATGAAATATCACATTTCGCCCTTGGTATACTGTAAATAACTTTTTATTCGCAAGAACTTTATTTTTGCGTAATTACGCGAGACAGTGTGCTTGCGAAAATTTCATTCTTCGTGAATATTCTGTCTCGCTAATAAAGAGTAAATATCTTTCTCGTGAAAATAAGGTGTTAAAATTTAGAGATTTACAGTATATATTTTAAGGATCTTTTTCAATTTTTTTTTAAATTTATTTATTTTATTTATTTATTTATTTTTTTGGTTGCATTTCAACCTAAAAATTGCTTTTTTAGTGTAAGACTTTATAATAATGAATGAATAAAATTACTACTTTTCAATACTTTGTTGCCATTGTAACGTATAAAACAGTTGATTTCCCAAATATACTCGTATTTATCATGCCTTTAAGAAACGGTGCTTAAACTTTTGGAAACATTGCATTGCTAAAAAGGTTGACTATAGGACTCTGAACATGTTTAAAATGCCATTTTTCAAACTTTACGACATGTTGTCATGGTTACTATGACACACACAACGAATTTTTGCCTGATTTGAGTTAACGGTACCAAAGACTTTCATCATAGAGAGTTTGGAGAAATTCTGAGACTATGCCTACGCGACAAGTCTGTGTGATTTACACGCCAATAACTCACACAAAACTTAAAAAAACATTCCTTAAATGTATTTGTGTACTATTATACTAAATTCATCGTTGCATTGTATCGTACCTAGTTACTATTTAGTTGATATTGTTTATTTACGCATTGTTACCATACTTGAGCATCCAATAATTTATTAAAGTAATGTTAATTCAGCAATTCCAACTCGATGAATTATTTATTTAAAAAAAGGTGAGGAAGCGTAAAGCTGGTTAGGTGTTAGGAATTTGTAGTCTTGGTTGTAAAATGTTGTCGTGCATCTCTCTCTTAAACCATCGCCAAGCTGTCCATGGCTGTGCTGGCATTTCGCTGAATGAATTGAAAAGTTTCGTATAGTGATTTATAATTTGTTTTTAACGTGTAAGAGTTTAATTATAAAAGAAAAATATTATTTAAAAAGTACATAAAATGCAAAAAATAACGACTAACCGGTTATAAAAATTGTATTTCTGACCGATTAGTCGATTACCCAGCCGTTAACCGTTACCTAATTAACCACAGGCCTTTGGATCGCTTAAATCCCACTTTAAAAAATTGGGGTGTATAAAAAAAGATACTAGTATTTTTTTCAACACCTTATTTCTTTTTTATTAAAGTGAAAGTCATTTCAGCGATTCCAAGTGGATGAATTGTGTTGTCTTCGGCACACATAGATATTTTCAAAATTGTTTCTGTACGTTTCACTGCTTTATACAATTTTGTAATTGTGGATCACTGCTATAAGATCGTACAGGTGAAAGATTTAGAGCTCGTTTTGTCTTCAGCAGATCTTCCAACGACATCCTAAAATGATAAGGGATGGTCTTTTTCATTTGTTTTCAAATATTAACCCACGTATAAATCCGATGTAAATTATAGTATATTTTGCTTTCTAAAGAAACTCTAGATTCAATTTTTGCGATAAGTTGTAAAGTTCTTGGTACTTTTCTAAATTATGTTGTCAGATTATGATTTACACTAATTCAGCACAAATATATAGAATTGAAAAGTCAACCGACTACAAATATTAACGTATACAATTTTAAACTGAATAGGTATTGTACCTTCCCGAGATCAGGCTCCCAGATGCTACCCAGAAGACGGTGTTGTTTATGGAGAATTTCTTTAACCAGTAGCTCAAACACGGGGTCTATGTTCATGCCAGTCTTGGCACTGACCTCGCTGTAAAACGGAAGCAGGCCCTCCTGATGTACCTTCTGACAGAGAAAACAGTATGTACTACAGACAAAAATATATAGAAAATTCCGATTATCTTGTTCAAAAATTTTGATTTATATATTGGGAAAAAAATGGTCTCTCCATTTCATCATCTCAATCACTGCATCATGACCTTCACCTAAAAGATATTAAATCCAGTCAAACTGGCTAAACTAATCAGGTTACAGTGTTAAAGCTAGGCCAAATTTGTGACATAATTTCAGTTTCATAATATTGAAATAGGGGTATATATTTTTGAATGATGTGGAAGCACTTTCGTACGCCTAGCTACGCCCTTGAATTGATAAACTGCCAGACGATTGCTTTAACAGACTATTTGAGGAATTTAATGAGAAACCATCAGAGATGTATAATGACACTGCAGAGATGAACAATGATAAACTGTCGAAGGAATACAATGCCTGACCGGTCTGAGGAATGCAATGACAAATTATCAAAGGAATACAATGAAAACTGTCAGCGATGTGCGATGACAAACCGTCAGAGGTGTGTGATGGCAAACTGTCAGAGACATGCCATGGCAGTCATTCAGATCTACGCAATGTCCAAGAATTGCAATGACAAACAATTAGAGTAATGCAATGACAAACTGTCGGAGGAATGCTTTAACATACTGTAAGAGGAATTTGATGACAAACCACCAGAGGAGTGTAGTGACAAACTGTCAGAGGTTGGCAATGATAAAGTGTCAGAGGAAAATAATGACTGTCAGAGGAATGTTTTAAAGAATGTCAACGGAATTCAATGGCGTGAATTGACAAACCAAACTGTTAGAGGTGTGCAATGACAACTATCAACCAAATATGATGACAAAATATCAGAGAAATGCAATGCCAATCTGTCAATGGAATTCGATGACAAACTGTCAGACGTGTGCAATAACAAACTGTCTGAAGAATGTAATAACAAACTGTCCCAAAAATGCAATAATAGACTGTCCAGAGTGTGCAATGACAGAATTTAAGAGGAATGCAGTTGCAGGCTGTAAGTTATATTAAGAACAGGCAGAGATAAAAGTTTCCCTTGAATTTTAAATTGTGTTAACCTTCGTAAATTGGAGTATTGAAAACAGTATGTAATAAAAATGTACAAATTTACCTTTTCACATTGTTCATAGGAAACACGAGTTAGTCCTGTTGTGAGATTCGTGTTTTTTGTGGGTGGATCATCAGTTTTTCCCTGTGGGTCTAAGTCGTTTTTATTGCCAATTAGCATTATCACGGGGTCTCCAAGAGTTTTCTGTGGAAGAATTCATAAGTTTTCGACTAGGAATGATATTTATAATGTGTTGAATGACAGAACATGCAAAACATGAATACAGTCACTATTTTTTGGAATATTACCCGTCGTCAAGCAATGTTGACTGTTGCTACGCTGGAGGGCGTGGCTTCATCATTCAGCGGGTAATAGTGTTTTTAGCTCACCTGAGCCGAAGGCTCAAGTGAGCTTTTCTGATCAAATTTTGTCCGTTGTCTGTCGTCGTCGGCGGCGTTGTAGTCGTTGTCGTTGTAAATTTTTCACAATTTCATCTTCTTCTCCAGAACTACTGGGCCAATTTCAACCAAACTTGGCACAGAGTATCCTTGGGTGAAGGGGGTTCAAGTTTGTTCAAATGAAGGGCCACGCCTTCTTTCAAGGGGAGATAATCATGAATTCATGAAAAATTAATGGCATCATTTAAAAATCTTCTTCTCAAGAACCACTGTGCTTGAAAATATGAAACTTATATGGAAGCATCCTCAGGTAGTGTAGATTCAAGTTTGTTCAAATCATGACCCCCGGGGGTAGGGTGGGGCCACAATGGGCGATCAAAGTTTTACATAGGAATATATAGGAAAATTGTTTAAAAATCTTCTTCTCAAGAACAGCAAAGCCATGAATGGTCATATTTATATGGAAGCATCCTCAGGTAGTGTATATTCAAGTTTGTTCAAATCATGACCCCCGGGGGTAGGGTGGGGCCACAATGGGCATCAAAGCTTTACATAGGAATATATACATGTAGGAAAACTCTTTAAAAATCTTCTTCTCAAGAACAGCAAAGCCATGATTAGTCATATTTATATGGAAGCATCCTCAGATAGTGTAGATTCAAATTTGTTCAAGTCATGACCCCCGGGGGTAGGGTGGGGCCACAATGGGCGATCAAAGTTTTACATAGAAATATATAGGAAAACTCTTTAAAAATCTTCTTCTCAAGAACAGCAAAGCCATGAATGGTCATATTTATATGGAAGCATCCTCAAGTAGTGTAGATTCAAGTTTGTTCAAATCATGACCCCCGGGGGTAGGGTGGGGCCACAATGGGCGATCAAAGTTTTACATATGAATATATAGGAAAACTCTTTAAAAATCTTCTTCTCAGGAACAGCAAAGCCATGATGAGTCATATTTATATGGAAACATCCTCAGGTAGTGTAAATTCAAGTTTGTTCAAATCATGACTCCCGGGGTTAGGGTGGGGCCAAAATAGGCGATCAAAGCTTAACATAGTATTACATATGAAAAATCTTTTAAAGTCTTCTTCTCAAGAACAGCAAAGCCATGATTGGTCATATTTATGTGGAAGCATCCTCAGGTAGTGTAGATTCAAGTTTGTTCAAATCATGACCCCCGGGGGTAGGGTGGGGCCACAATGGGCGATCAAAGTTTTACATAGGAATATATAGGAAAATTGTTTAAAAATCTTCTTCTCAAGAACAGCAAAGCCATGAATGGTCATATTTATATGGAAGCATCCTCAGGTAGTGTAGATTCAAGTTTGTTCCAATCATGACCCCCGGGGGTAGGGTGGAGCCACAATGGGCGATCCAAATTTTAGATAAGAATACATAGGAAAAATCTGTAAAAATCTTTTTCACAAGAACAGCAAAGCCATGATTGGTCATATTTACATGGAAGCATCCTCAAGTAGTGCAGGTTCAAGTTTGTTCAAATCATGACCCCCGGGGGGAAGGGTGGGGCCACAATGGGCGATCAAAGTTTTACATAGGAATATATAGGAAAAATTTGTAAATATCTTTTCTCAAGAACAGCAAAGCCATGATTGTTTTTTTTTTAATGGGTGCATCCTCAGGAAGTGTAGATTCAAGTTTGTTTAAATCATGACCCCCCAGGGGTAGGGTGGGGCCACAATGGGCGATCAAAGTTTTACATAGGAATACATAGGAAAAAGCAAGCCTTTTAAAATCTTCCTCTGAAGAACAGCAAAGCAATAATTAGTCATATTTAAATGCAAGCATCCTCAGGTAATGTAGATTCAAATTTTGTTCAAATCATGACCCCCCCCCCCCCAGGAGAATAGAGGGGCCATAACAGGGGATCATAGTTATACAAAGGAATACAAATGATATATCAATAAAAATTGTCTTCCTAAGAACAGCATAGCCATGATTTGTCATATTAATTCAAAAGCATCCCTTTGAAGTATAGATTCAAGTTCAAATTAAACCCTCCCCCCTTCGAACCACTTTTATATCAAAACTTTTCAAGACTCAACTGATTTCTGCTTTTTCCTAGCCAGAGTGCTCAGGTGAGCGATGTGGCCCCTGGGCCTCTTGTTTAACAAATGTTTCTCGACGAATCAGATTCAACTAATTTACATGAAAGTATAATATTGAAACATAAGTTTCCAACCACATGAAAGCTCAGAATATTCAAAACAACTTTAAGAAAATAATACTATATTTAATTAAATATGCTAAGTATAGCTTACTAATAAAAATGACCCATAAGTTTGCCATAGTAAATCAAAGATTAAGTTTCTAAACTTTGCAAAATGTTTAAGTCATATAGATAAAATTCTCAATTTTTGTAATTTCCTTACAGTAACTAATATATTCATTGACAGTTGTCAGTTCTGTCATGGATTTAACTTGACTTCTGTCTCCAGATGAACAAAGCTATCCCAACAGTAGTAATATTGTAGATATTCTAATATTTTAAGGTCTGCAGACATTACATAAACAACATCATGTTATTTTTAGGTCATCTTGAATCACCCAGATCTACTCCGTCGTGTGTAATACGCAGTACATTGTACATACACAATCTATTTAGTATTCTTCTGAGCAAATTTTAACCAATTTGTTATGTAACAATCATGAACGAAGAGAGACAGAATAATGAATTTCATGTCTCAGTCCCCAGCGCCTGAAGGATAGACCTAAAACTTCAAAAAATTGTGCAATCCTTAAATGTGTTTGTATATCCTAGACATTTAGCAGGCGAGCTTGACTAAAGCAAGCAGTTAATTTTTACCAATCTTTCAAAATTCATGATTCATTGGTTGAAACCCTAGGTTGTGACTATGATGGTCATATATTGAAAATACAGAATAATTTTGATAATATCTTCTTTAGTCATAGACACCTAGAGGCAAACTTGTAGTCAACAGCTATAGCCATCTACTATATCTTAATATTCATGTCCTGTATGTTCAGTGTTCTAGACTCATAGGGGGCTAAGTTGGTCAGGTATTGAAAAGCAATAAATGTTTTTAATGTTTCTTCTTTATCCATGGACATTGAACAGTCAAATTGTTTGCATAATTATAATCACTAATCAATGTGTTTCCTGATTCTATGATTCAGAGCAGAGAGTGGGGATAAGTTTGAAAATCTTATTTATTCTGGGATGTTTAGCAAGCAAATTGTACGCATGATGTCAGATAGGTTACATTGTCAACTTACAATAAGCAGATAAACATGAACTCTCAGTTTTCATTAAAGTAGAATATATCACGTAAATCCAGAATACCAGTAACAGGTCGGACTGATTTGGTCACGACACTCGGGTGATTATCAGGGCCCATGTTCCCCTTGCTTATAATACCCAAAGTGCAAAATGATGATATATATAATCTATAGATTGAGACAATGGATTTTATTTTTTAATGATTACTGATAATTTTTACCTGACGGATACCTGTTAACCATTCCTCAACATCTTCAAAACTGCTAGGCTTCGATATGTCATGTACAATTAAGATTCCCTGTTGAATTTATATATAAAATACATGTTCAATACACAAGTTAACAATGTAGCCTTTTGTTGGATATTAGATGCAGATGGCAAAAGTGGGAAAATGTAAATAAAATGGCTCAGATATCATTTAATAATAGACATACCTGTGCTACTTTATACAAAGTAGGGGCTATTTCTTTTTGATAATCCTGTCCACCAGTATCTCTATATAAATAAAAAAAGAAACAGGAAGAAGTTGCGATATGGTTTACTGCTTAGGCTATAAAAATGTTGATGATGAATTACAAAGATCTTACATAAGCTCTATCTGGAGCTTCTGTCCATAAACTGTTATGAATTTCTTGTTTATATTTCCCCCTGAAATGCAGAAAGTAGAATTTATTTTTATAATCAATTTCAGAAATGTAAGTGAAGGACTGCAGCAAGGTTTACCACTTTTCCTTTTATCATCTGCGTTATCTTACCTCTCGTATATATGTACTCAGAAGAGAACGTTTCCCGGATGTATCTCGTTATTATGGATGTTTTTCCAACAGCATAAGTACCTACTAGAGCAATTCTGACTTTTCGTATCAATTGTTTATCGCGATCTCCAGAGTTTGACACCGAGGCACCCATATACACACAACCAGCCGCCGTTTCCAACATTTAAATAATCAGATTACGTGTCCATCAATTACATTATAAGTAACTTTGATTATCGTTACCGATAACTAAATCATCTGTTTTCAATGGTTTTTAAATCCATTTGAATCATTTTCTGTTTTAGTAACACGGAAGCTCTTATTGACTGTCCACATAATAACGCAGTATTAATCACGCGGACCTCGGTATGCACAGGACGTTCCTGATAACACCAATAGTGATGTCGGCGTATGATAAATTTTCCAGTGTTATACTAAAAGGATCTGATAAAGGGTTACGTATATTCAATAAATTCAATAATTCTATAAATTGTATTTTCAAGAAAATGTTACTACCTGTACATTTTATTGTTGTATTCTTATTTAGACTACATTGAAGACTTACTTTCTTTTCTTTTAATTTTCTCGAAATAAAAACACAGTCCGAAATAATCACGTATAATTTAACTGTAAACAGAACATATGAACTTTACCATAACCCCCACCCCCCACCCACCCACACACACACTACACGTACCAATAGCAAATTAAAGCAGAGTTTCTCGTCTTTCCTTTTATTACCACGGTACATTGCTATTGGAACGTCCAAGGGACTCTGATTATATCCATTTCTAAAATTATTTTTCTTTATCTTCGTAAATTTGACATTTGATATTTTCTACTGTTTATTAAAAATTAATGAAAGTATTTTTGCTAAGAAATATGCTACAAAATTAAGTTAAATTACTAGAATTTAAATTCAACCTAATCATACAACGAATGATAAGAATAAGAACGGGTTAACTTGATTTTTAGATCACCTAAGTCTCTCAGGTGACCTATTGCTTTCTGTTTTCGTCCGTCGTCGTGCACCGTGCAATGTAAACATTTGAACATTTTCAGCTTCTTCTCTGAAACCGCTGAACTACTAGTAATTTCAACCAATTTTGGAATATAGCACCTATGGGTGAAAGAAAACGAAAAATTGTGAATTTCATGGTCCCTGTCTTCCTGGGGTCTGAGGAATGGGGCTAAAATTACCAAAATAATTGCAATCTACAAAAATCTTAATCTTTACTCCTGGACATCAAGCAGTCAAACTGTTGTCATGATTGTAATAAGCATTGAGTCCTCTACCATAATTGAGAATTCAATTCATAGCCTCAGGGTCAGGGGTTCTGGTGCTAGGACGGGGCTTTATAGATTATATAGTGAAAGTGCATCATTTCTTTGAAAATCTTCTCTGCTCCTGGGTATGAAACAAACAAAGTTCATAGTTATGATGAGCAAGGGTGCCTCTTCCAAAATTGTGAAATTCATGACCCCTGGGTCAGGGGCTCTGCTGTTAGAGCGGGGCTCTATTGATTATATAGTGAAATGCATTAATTCTTTGAAAATCTTCTTTCTACTCCTGGATATTAAACATTTTACTTGGTACATAGTTATGATGAACAAAGGTGCCTCTTTCAAAATTGTGAATTTCTTGACCCCTGTGTTAGGGGTTCTGCTGTTAGAGCGGGGCTCTATTGATTATATAGTGAAAATGCATTAATTTGAAAATCTTCTTCTCTGTCTCTGGGTATTATTTAAACAAACCAAGTGCACGGTTATGATAAGCAAGGATGCTTCTTCCAAAAGTTTGAAATTCATGGCCCCAAGGTTGGGAGGTTCAGGTGAAAGGGGGTAGGGCTCTATTGATTATGTAGTGAAAATGCATTAATTCTTTGAAAATCTTCTCCTGGGTATTAAACAAACTAACTAGATACATAGTTATGATGAACAAGGGTGCCTCTTTCAAAATTATGAATTTCTTGACTCCTGGGTAAGGGGTTCTGGTGTTAGGTTGGGCTCTATTGATTATATTCTAAACATCACACATTCAGACTGTTGTCATGATTGTAATAAGCATTGAGTCCTCTACCAAAATTCTGAAATTCATGACCCCTGGGTAAGGGATAATGGTGTTAGGGTGAGGCTCTATTGATTATATAGTGAAAATGCATTAATTGTTTGAAAATCTTTTCCTCTGCTTCTTGGTATTAGGCAAACAAACTAAATGCGTAGTTATGATGAGCAAGAGTGCCTCTTCCGAAATTGTTAATTTCATCGCCCCTGGGTCAGGGGTTCTGGTGTCAGGGCGGGGCTCTGTTGATTAAACATTGATGTTGCATTAATTCTTTAAACATCTTCTCCTCTACTCATGGGTATTAATCAAACAAATAAATTAAATGCATAATTATGATGAGCAAGGGTGCCTCTTCCAAAATTTTGAATTTCATGACCCCTGGGTCAGGGGTTCTGGTGTTTGGGTGGGGTTCTGTTGATTATATAAAGAAAATGCATTAATGCTTTGAAAATCTTCTCCTCTGTCCCTGAGTATTAAGCAAACAAACTAAATGCAATAATATAAATGTAAATTTATAAATAAATGTGCCTCTTCTCTGCTAGGAGTCAAACAGAATTCAAAATTGTAATAAGTGAAGCAAATGAGAGTTATTACCCTATGCTAAATTGTATTAATCAAGAAATCCTTGTGTATAATTTAATTAACAGGTTACTTAATTGAATGAGAATACAAGAAAGAATGTTATATATATATATATATATATATATATATATATATATATATATATATATATATATATATATATATATATATATATATATATATATATATATATATATATTAACTGCAATAATGTAGCCCTCTCCGATTTTTTTTTTTTGGGGGGGGGGGGGGAGGAGAGGGCTACAACTCCTTAGGATCTCCGTAATGGTGCAAGTGCGGGAGTGATTCACTACCGCACAGATTTCGGCTCAAATTATCAGTAAGTGTGTATTTTATTAACATATCTTACCTGAACTCATAAAATGTAGTTATGCAAGACATGAATTGATCCAAAAATATACAGAACAATCCGTATATCGGTTATTTTTCGTGTATGTCAACATCACAACTTGAATTTATCCGCCATGTTTACTGACCTTTTATTTTGGACAACCAATGAGAAATTGGGGTCTAGGGGAGCGGATCGTTTAGGATTTCCCTTATTTTAAGCATAAATATCACTGTTTATGAAAAAATTATCACATGGGATGCTTTTATTTATCGATGTTTAGTGATATGATACAACACAAACATTTATCAACGCCGACATTTACTCTATCAAGTGCTTCTAAAATTCAAGCGCAAGTCTCTGTACATCACGCGAGAACTGTCGTGGCTGCTGAAGAGAACGACTGGTAAACACGCAGATTTATTTTACTTTGTTTTCGCTTATAAAGGGCTATGATGTTGATAGTAAATAAAAAATTCCGTCTTTTTGGAAGTAAGTTGAATGCAAAAACAATTTATTTTGCCTGCAGTCGCCAGTATCTAAAAAAATATATTTGCACCATTACGGAGATGCAGTGGAATTGTAGCCCTCTCCTGAAAATATCAGATTAAAAAAATCGGAGAGGGCTACATTATTGCAGCTAATATATATATATATATATATATATATATATATATATATATATTTAAACAAAATAAAAATGAATGGTTTAATTGAGCAAAGTATGCTCAAAGTCAGATTCTTGTCTGTAAAGCATTATTATACAGTTAAAGTATATCATTGAGGGAGTTAGCAAGATTCCAGTTCCCCAAGGCCAGGACTATTTCCCGAGGCGAAGCCGAGAGAAACAGTCCTGATCGAGGGGAAGTGGAATTTCAAAGCAGGGATTAGCTCAATGAACTAACACACGGGGATTGGTCCATTCACATATCATACCAATGTAAAAGTAAAATATAGAGGAGTACGGATAAGCGGGAATTAGCTTTCGAAGCAGGGATTAGCTCACTTGACTAACGCACGGGAATCAGTCCATTCATGACAATTTCTAGAGAATTAGTCACATCTAACGATCTTGTGTTATATAGGGAAAAAATCAGAAGTATAATAAAAAAAAGATTGACATCAAGAATATTTATGTAGCAAAATAGCCAATAGTACATAGTGTGTGTATACCGTGGTGTCCTTATTTGTCAGTAGACAACTTAATGTCAGGTAAAGTCATGGAGACAATAGATTAGTTGGTAAAAGCCTGTATAAAGTTCTTTTATACTTTATCAAAGTGACCAAGTGATCACAGAGAGCCAGGTGAATAGGGGATGTGTTGTAGTTTGTGACAAGTGGCAAACAGCCATGTTGTATAGCCAAGTGGTGATTGCTGGTACCAAATATTACCAATTTGTTTGTATACCCAAGAGGCAAGTGTTGGTACCAAGTGGCAAGCAGCTAAGTTGTTTGTGTAGCCAAGAGGCATCACTTCGAATAAATATACAGGCATTAGATACTTAATTGTAGCACTAGGCAAGTGACAAAAACATATCTGTATATATCAAATACCTTACACACTAGGCAAGTGTCCATTGTATTTGTATATTTTGCATTCATTATCATCCCTGTAAGACTTAGGCAAACCAAGTAAGATCCCAAGGAGATCGCTTGGGTCTCGCATGTTACAATAAGCAAGGGTATTTTTATCAGAATTTTGAAATTCTTGGGCAAGATAGCTTCATCTAATTTTGCTTTATACTTCTATGGATCCTTTACAGTGTTGTAATGTACTCAGGTGATCATTAAAGCCCTTGGGCCTCTTGTGCTGTTGTGTGGGCATGAGGACAACATCAGGTCTTGTTCAGAAATACATTCAGGTATGAATAGGATTAAATCATGTGACATAAACTCAAAACGGTGTTAAGTGTTGTCCAATGTGGATAAGAAAATCTTTGTTAACTTACAAGTTCGTGTAATAGTGTAATACATGTATAACGACAAAGGACACATGTAGGAATTTATAAACAAACATATAGCAAATGTTCATAAATTCATCTCATTTACAATTATTGAGGGCTAGGGTGGAGAGATAGTCCGGTAATATCGTGAACAAGACGTTTTTATTGAAAAAAATAAATAATGCGCGCACTAAGCTGAAAATTTCAGCACGTTTATCTGTAATATTTGAGTACATGTACATCTTAATTCTTTTTATAAAATATAAACAACAATAAGGAATTTATTATATTTGAATGTGCACAGGGCACGACCAAAAAAGAGAAAAGCGAGTGTTATTTCTTTATGAAAGTATTAAATAGAAAAAGTTCGGGTAAATTTTATCATATTTTTAAGTCAATGTCTATTCTGTCATTTTGAGGGAAAAAAAAACAAAACATTTCGGACGAACAGCTACTGGCAATAGCGAAAGACGCTTTCACTGCTGACCGTCCAAAAAGATTGTCTTATTTAGTTGAATGTAGTGAGAGTACTGTCCATAAACTCATACAAATCATCAGAAGGTCCCATGATGTGTGCGCGACATTGGCCCCTCGCCTGTTTATGTAGTTCGAGTGTGTGTGAAGTTGGGTTTATCCATCTTCTTTTTAGAAAAGATGAAACATGACGTTGGTTAAGACACTTTCACCTTATCATTCATGCGCCGTAAGGCGATACCACACAGAACATAAAATCCCATATTTTGTTTATTCGAGCATATAATTATCTATCTGAAATTTCCAACGTATATTGATGAAAAATGTACTAAAGAGTAGTGAAAATTTTAGAACACTTTTTTTTTAATGATTTTTCACTGTAGTTAATTTGTCAACGATTTACTGGACAACCTTTGTATTTACCTATGAAAGAAAAAATACAGATTTTTTCCCCATGATGAAGAATAAAAAATAAGAAAATCTTCCCTCGGAACAAACTGAGTGTCATAGCCTTTAAAAATACTACAAATGTATTTCGACAGTCCAGTTACAGTTGTGTCGTTTAATATTCTAATTACTAGATGAAATCCCGAGCAAGCGCTGAGAATTGAATTTATACCATTACCGACAGAAAATATATTGTAGTTTCTACTGACAGCCTATAGGCTTATAGCAGGAAGAAATACTTTGTTCAAAATCCCGCATGAAGTAGATGTACATTTACGTCTCCACCCCCCCCCTTTTTTGTAAAAAATTGAAAAATAACAATTTTATTAATTGAGGTTTATTATGAAACCTGCTGTACTATGTTATGGATATTGTACTTCAGATGCTCTTATTTCATTTCCGCCAAGGATAAAATCAGCGAATATACACATTTTACTGATAAATTAATTAATTAATTTTTTTTTTTGGGGGGGGGGTTAAAAATTCACAGGTACTTGAGTCTTGGTTCATAAATATGTTCGTAATTATTGATATGTAAAAGATATACTTTTATTTACTTTTTTTTTTACATATCAATAAAGTACATACATATTTATAAACCAAGACCCAAGTACAGTCTGTGTAAAAATTAGCTTATAACGCCCTATGAATAGGCCGAGTATTTGATACAAAGACTGTATTCAGAAAAAAAAATAACTGAAATGTATTGATTAAAACAAAATTTTACAGTTTTAATTGTATTTGAACAATACCTTATTCATTAATTTTCTCTTTTCATGTAAGCAAGTTTATTACGAAGTAAAAATTGTACTTCGAGTTCGTTGCCACGATGCTTTTAGTAAGGAATATAGGAATATACGAGGGTTGTTCGGAAAGTTCGTGGACTGATGCAATAAAATTAATACTATGTAGTTTATGCTTAAAACTTTTTTAAGGAACATAAAACAACAAAAGATAAAGAAAGGTTGAAAATTTTAGCTTGATACCTTGAATATTTACCAAATTATCATAAAATAAAATGATATGATCAACCGGCGCTGTCGCCATTTAGTTCATGACGTCATTGTTTCTCAATGTCAGCATTCTCTACCTCAAACACTTATCTTGATAAGATTCCTTGGATTTAAACCCGTCTTGTTCATGTGATTTTACAATGTCATGAACAGTTGATTTCAATGCATATAATATTGTAAATAGATCTATACATAGTGAAAGATCCTAACAAGATTATAACAGCATATTTGCTTGTCGGAGTTCAACATCTATCACACATGATCAACGTCACTTTTCGACGTGACAAACTTTGAACACCCTTACTACAAATCGACATTAACTTTTACATCTCTCGTCTCTCTAATCTTTTTTTGGCATTTAAAAACAAGTATTCTGAATGTATTTTATTTTTCAGTATAACATTTAAATAGTGCCTAGGTCTATGCCAGTTTCTCCGGGGGTGAAACTATATTAGAATGTTGGAAAAAGATCCCACCCCCGTTCTGACGTCATTACATCCCCTTAGTTCTTTGGACATTTCATTTAAAATTTACGATAAATTTTCATAGAACTTACAGAATGGGGTAAAAATTGCAAATTTTACGGTACAATTATGTCATACAACAGGTGTGAATTAACAGCATTTTTGTATGACAAATTCTCGTATCAAAAAAAAAGAGTTTTTCTAAGTTACACTTAGGTAGAAATTAACGTGATCTTCGAGGTTGCGCCGCCTGGACATACCATTGCTTTCAAAAATATCAACAATTTATTTAGAAATATAAGTAACGATGTATAGTTTATTATATAAATAAAAAAGATGATGCTACTTAAACGATAAAAAATTCATTCATGTATCTTAAGCGGTTTTAATTTTATGGCGTTAGTCTACGAACTTTCCGAACAACCCTCGTAAATTATTTATACAAATTTTACCGATAAATTTATTAGAAAACCTACTACATATATGTAATAGTCTTTCGATATATAAATATATTCACAACTTTTAGTGTTATCAATGATTTGCCATTTTTTCAATGACCATTCACACAAAAGGTTTTTTTTTTATGTTCTTGCAGCTATAATGGCCTGGGTTTTTTTTTTCTTTTTAACATCGGGCTCGATGCTATATGATGTTCTAGAAGCTTCCTTCAATATTAAGATCGGTGAATGACAAAAATAATTTGGACATTTCCCTTTTTAGTTGGTTATCACAATCTTTTTCTTTTATATCATTTAAATCAAGCTCTGATTGAATAATTCAGTGTTGACGTTTTATGAAATAAATAAACAATTGCTTGTTGTCAGTTTCATAAAAAATTTCCAGTAACCTAGATCCGCCAACCGGAAACGCTACCGTACTCACGTTTTTGCTATTTCATGGCTGGTTATAGAAAATAAAAGTAGACTTTTAATTTAATGTCCGATACATACTATGCGAGTGAAATCTAAATATAGTTTACGGACATCATCTTGTATATAGTGTATTGTTAGAGGAGTAAGTAAGAACTCTGGTGCACCCGTTTCGGAGTTTATTTGCAAAATTTATTAATTTATAAGTATATTTTCGCAAACTCATTATATGAATTCCTAAAAATTCAATAATTAGTAAACGACAGTAGCATTAGTACAGAATAAACGACAAAACACAATTTATAAATACAATTTAAGCTTTATTAGAGGAATAATAATTTACACGATAAAAATTATTTTCGCACACTAAAATTTTATAATGTTTGCATTCCTTCCAACGAAACACAAGAGTTGTCAATACACAGTGCTTTGTGTTTTACCATAAATTATACTATATGCTAAAAATTAACGAAGACAAAAAGTTTATTTCCATTTGTACAGCCGAACAGCACACTCAAGTTTCTTATAACCAAATAAAATAAAAATGAAAAATGCTTGTCAAAACAAGATAAGATCCTACCAAGATTACAAGCATCTGTCCGTGTAGAGTGTTTGTGGAAACTCACATGTAAGCAGGTTGATTTGAGGTATCGTACCCCATCGTCTCCGCTGCCTGTTCTGCCACTCGCCTCAGCTGAGCGAATGTTGAGGGTGTTAGCTTCAGTCCAAACTTTTCGGCTTGCACTTTCATTCTATGGAACTCTGTATAAAAGATATACATAAAACAACCATCAGAATATCTCATACAGTATAAAAATGGAAAGGAAACAGCACAACGCTTGATTGAGGGTTTGTGGTATATACATTATTCCTTTAATTGTTCTCTGGTACAGATATAAGAATATCTTACGTTTGTCCTTCACGCAGCAAGGACAAAATCTTGTCCAATAGTCGATAAAGGCCTCCTTCAAAGGGCCCCAGATGAGATATTTACAGCAGTTCTTACAACAGATGAACCACACCATGAAGATCAAAGAGATGAAGGACAAACCAAAGATGCCTTTGAGTGCGAGTTTTTCCCAGTTTAATAATAATTTCTTAATTCTTGCCTCCTCCTCAGTCTGTCACATAAAATGAAATATAAAACCAGAAGTCTCTGACGAGACTGTAGCTCTACTGGTTGTTCTTATAAAAGGAGGATAAAAGTAGCACTTGGACTTGAAACTTTGCAACAGCAATAAATAGAATAATGGTTCTTGGTTTAGTCTCTTTTTGTGACAAAATTTATTGCAATCAGACTAAAACTGTAGGAGGAGAAGCCTTTTAAAACAATTTTAAAGAAATTTTGATTTAAGTAACCATGGCAACATCATTCAACAAAATAAAAAAAACAATAACGTCAACTATGTAGCCTATCACAGTCTAGTCTACTTTATGCCAAGTTATACTGAAATCAGACAAAAAGTGTAGGAGGAGTAGAGTTTTTAAAGTATTTCAAGAAAATTTCTATTTTTTGTAACCATGGCAACACTGTTCATCGAAATCCAATACTGGTACAGAGAATTATGTATCTTAGTGTAGTCTACTTGTGTGCTAAGTTATACTAAAATTAGACCAAAACTGTAGGAGGAATAGCATTTTGAAGGTATTTCAAGGAATTTTCTATTACTATGACTATTACTATTTTTAGTACCATGGCAACACTGATCATCGAAATCAAAAATCGGTTTATAGAATTATGTATCTTAGTGTAGTCTACTTGTTTGCCAAGTTATACTGAAATCAGACCAAATCTGTAGGAGGAGTAGCTTTTGAAAGTATTTCACAGAAATTTCGATTTTAAGTAACCATGGCAACACCGTTCACATAAATCAAAAACCGATAAACAGAATTATGTATCGTAGTATAGTCTACTTGTGTGCTAAGTTGTATTCAAATGAGATCAAAACTGTAGGAGGAGTAGCGTTTTGAAAGTTTTTCACAGAAATTTCTATTTTTAGTAACCATGGCAACACTGTTTAATAAAATCAAAAACCGATAAACAGAAATATGTATCTTAGTGCTGTCTACTTGTGTGCCAAAAAATATTGAAATCAGATCAAAACTATAGGAAGAGTAGCGTTTTGAAAGTATTTCATAGAAATTTCTATTTTTAGTAACCATGGCAACACCGTTCACCGAAATCAAAAACCAATAAACAGAATTATGTGTCTTAGTTTAGTGTACATGTGTGACAAGTTATACTGAAATCAGACCAAAACTGTAGGAGAAGTAGCATTTTGAAAAATTGTTTACAGACAGACAGACAGACGGATGGACGACGGACAACTTACTATCGCATAAGCTCTTCTGGTCTTTCACCAGTAGAGCTAATGATGCTAAGCAGCTGAAGAAATTCGAAATTATATTACACAGTGTGCGTGGTGTCTGCATAATTATAACCAGAAGTGTCTGATTATTATTGTAACTCTACTTGTTTGAACTTCTTCTGAAAATGTCTGACTGAAAACTTAGCCATATATATCTGTAATAATAGATTACATAGTGATACGAAAAGTGAAAATGAACAGTGATCAATCAAGCTCAAAAGTCCATTTCAACAGTACAAATTGTGAGCAGAACCAACACGGATCTTTAAGAAAAAGGATGAGATCAGGTGTCATGGAAAATAAGCATCCCCTGTCGACCGATAATACTCGCCGTTTGACTCGTCATGATTGGGTAAACGGAAAAAATCCGTAAACAATTCAGTGTGAATATAATGACCTATTAATTTGTATGAAAGATGCTGCCTAAAATGTATCGACAGATTGTATCTGCAACAGGGTCGTTGTATTTACAATATAATTTGCAAAAAATTGACTTTAAACGAGATTGTTGATATCCTTGTATCATCAACTTATTTGCCAATAGCCTGTCTCGATTTAGATTGCTTGTACGTAGAATACTAGTATGCTCTTGCGCATCCAATCAAGAGTGAGACATAAACACCATATAGAGGTGATAATGGTATATTATTGTTTCATAAATAAGGGAAGTTGACGATTGAAAAGTTGAAGTCATCATGTTTTTCATAAAGTTAAGTTGTTAGGTCCCCATCAATGTTTTTCTCAAGTAAAATATCCATTGAAATATGAAGCATATGTGTCAGACTCTGTGTTGTCTAAAATAAATGTGATTCATTTCCAGACAAAGTAGGAATTAGAATGAATGTTATTAACTGATAAAACGTCGTCGATATATCTAAATGTGGAATTGAAGGCCACAACAGAAGAATTTCACAGAAATTCTTATTTTTAGTAACCATGGCAAAACCGTTCGTCAAAGTTAACAGAATTATGCATCTTGACTTAGTTGTAGTCAACTTGTGAACCAAGATATATATATAATACACGGAAATCGGACTAAAACTGTGTGGAAAATGGCGTTTTATTTTTGCAGGTCTATATAATTTCGTTCTTTTCGTGGAATGAAAAGACCCATGAATTCATGTCTTCCAAGAAATCCTACAAGTGCAGTACACTTCGTCTTCAAACATGACAAAATCAAATCCACACGAACCAACTTAATTGTCCTCTCAGTATTACGAATTTCATGTGTACGTACATTGTAGCGAGATTTAGCCATTTCTGGAGGTCCCTTTGTTTCTTCAAATAGATTGTATTTTTTAACCCACATTTTACAGTATCCTTTACTTAGTGAAGTGCAGTATATAGCTATAATCAATATTAAGGCAGCATTTTGAAGTACCTCCTCGGTATAATCAATTTCCCCTCCGCTGTAGTCGTCGTATGCTTCATCTTCCCAGCGTTTGTGACGACCCGCTCGGCTTACGGTAGAGTTCAATATGGGCGCCGCCACACATCCCTCTATTTCCAAAAATGTATTATTACAGATATATATGTCAACACTTTTTTTCATAACAAATAATACACTTTCCTAAATATTAAAGAGAGCTTTTGCGAGTACATAAGTTTACCAACCCAATTATCAGTATCTGTTCGATGGCCCTTATTTCTTTCCCTATATATGCTGGCGGTCAGACAGGTTCGATCACCGGTGACCAGATAGCTCAGTTGGTAGGAGCACCTGACCGGAGATTCGGGGGGGGGGGGGGGGTCGAATCCTGTTCTAGTCCGTCGTATTTTCCCGTTACATTTGGTGCCGTACCATGCCCTGGGACAGGAAGTGACAGGTGAAAGACCTGCCAGGGAAGAGCCTGAGTTGGTGTCTTCGGATGGCAGAAGACATTTAAGAAGGGAGGAATGTGGCGGTCAGACGGGATCGATTGGCGGTGGCCAGATAGCTCAGTTGGTAGGAGCACCTGACTGGAGATTCAAGGGGGGGGGGCGAGTTCAAATCCCGGTCTGGTCCCTCGCATTTTTCTCTTCTTCCGTTACGAGGTTATTGGTGCATGGTGCACCGTCACCAGGTTCCTACAGGTTATATTAACATGCAAGATAATCAAAATAATTTTAGCTTGCAACTAGATCAATTTATTTACTTAAAAAAAATCACCAAGTTGAACAATATGCTAAGATATTGGCCTATCACAATCATATATATGATTTTGGACTTATATAATACATGCATTGAAATCCCTCATGTGTACGTCAGTCAATCTCCGATCATTCACTGACCCGGATTTTGCATTTGTTTCAAAGAATGATTCAAACTTACCTTTTATAAGAAAACACAACAAAATAAAAAAATTGATCTTGCAAGATGAATACGTCATATCATGTGCGTTGACGCATGCGTTTATTATGACGTCATGTTTGAGCACTACCTTGGCTAATCTATAATATATTATAAGCTATTTTCAAACAAATCCTTGATTACCTTACAAGAAAATATCAAATATTCACAACATTGGATGTGGAGCCTATTCATATATAACCTGATTTTCTGGGGGGGGGGGGGGGAGGGTTCGTCTGCATCTTTGGCTTCATTCATTGATTGCCCCAAGCCTGTAGGTAAAACAAACTTAGTGTAAAACAATAGCGAAGTACATGCTTATAATTATATTTTTTTTAACCTCCAATATTGAAGAAAATATTGAGTCGAAACAGGTCCGTAGTAAAGGTTTCAAAAGGGGGGACTCCCAAAAATTCTTATTAAAAAAAATTGTCCAAAATATGAAGAGGCCAATTTTCCAAAATAATCTGACAAGCAGAAAAAAAATCATGTCCAAATCCTGGAATGTGCCAGTGCTCGACCTTACAGCAACAAAAAGTGCGGGGTAGGGTTGGGTGGCAACCAGCATCTAAATGAAAATCTACTATAGCAAAATACTATACTCAGAAAAAAAGGGGCGCCCCCGGGGGGAGGGGGCAGGGGGGTCTATGGGCCTGTACCAAGTCTACTTGCATTAGTAGATATTTTTCAGTCTTGCAAATGATTAATCAAATGAATTTGAATTATCATTAAATATGTCATAACTTTTTCAATAATTTCTTAAATTCTCCTTTATTTTTCTTTAATCTAATAACTTTTAATAAATTTTAACTTAATAATTTCTTTAATTCTTAAAAAAAAAAAAAAAAAAAAAAATAAGCACGGTATTGAAACAAAAAAAAAATGTATTCATTATTTCTTTCCTATCAATTCAACAATACAATTTGTATTTGTTTATTTATTTGGAAGTCTTTATTTTGTTATTTATTTATTATCTATATCTATTTAGTTTCTTTATTGATTGATTGTTTTTTTTTCTTTCTATACCGGTAGTTTATTATAAGCAGTACCTCGCTTACTAAGAACTTATGTATATTCAATGTTTCCAGTTTTTTTTTCCTTTTAAAGTCAGTCAATATCATTAATTCATATCTCATAGCAAAGTGCATGCTCACTGCATTAAAAGGTCAGGTGATAACTATTCATTCACTTAAGTTCTATTTATATAATTCTTATAAACAGTAAGCTAAGCTGTTGTCTGAGTTTGACAAATATGACATAAACAACATTTAACATCGTTTCCTGACCCCTGAGTGTGTCCCGAGGGATGGCCCACGTAGCTCGAGCTAAGGTGTTACTGATTGGGGACACAGCTGTCGGAAAAACCTCAATCCTCGTCAGGTTCACAAAGGAAGTCTTCGATCCAATCTTTATCGCCACCATAGGTAAATATATAATGACACTACATGCTTCATTCATTATCAGTAGAAATAATGCGTTATGATACACATGTTGTATACAAGGTACATATAATTAACGTAAGAAGACCGAATTTAAGTTAGTATCACACAGATCAATATTTTGGACAGGGTTTTTTTTTTTTAAAATTCCACTATGATGTTCCAGTGAAGAGAGAATAAGATTTAATTGAACCAACTTTTGTCTACATCTAATATATACCCCCCCCCCCCCCCACACACACACACATTTTTAAAGTAAAAACTACTATACACATGGAATTTTATATACAACCTACTGCAACTTCATGCCAACTCGGTACAGATATATTAATTGCTCCTGCATTATCTTTCATATCATAAACATCGCAGTTATATGCTGTTATATGCACATAGCTGTTATATGCACAAATACATGTACACTCGATTTTTATAACAGCAAAAAAAAAAAAAAAAAAAAAAAAAAGATGAAAGATAAAGGGTGATTCCCTCTTGACAGCAGAAAATGGTGTCTAATGGGGCTGGGTGGGGGTAGTTTAACATTGAGGCATACATGTAACTTAAAAAAATTGTTGGCGATCACCCCCACTCCCAGGCCCGAAGCAACGGTTTAAGCCCCCCCCCCCAATTCTGACAAACAAAATGAAAAAAAAACCTGACTAACTGACCAAAAAGGGGGGGGGCAACTTCCAAAATAATCTGACAAGCAAAAAAACAAAACAAAACAAAACAAAAACAAAACAAAACAAAACAAACAAAAACAAAAAAAGCTATCCTGCAATTTGCCAGTGCTTAAAGTCAGGAAATCATCAACTTTGCGTAGTAGGTAATTTAATTAACGATTAATTTTCATACCTTTACCACATCAAAGTCTGAGCCCCGATCTTATTGCATGTGTAACAATAAAATGGTTACAATTTTGGGTTTACAAGAGTTTGTTTCTGTTCAGCATAAGAACTTATTAAATACATAAGCAACACAAAAAATCATAAAAATATATGATGTAGGTATAGTGGGTATCTTGCTGAGATGCAAGATTTCAGTAAATCATTGGAATCTGTACAGTAGATAATGCACAGGGGCTCGTAACGATTAATTTCTCTTCTTTCTACTAACCACCCCTCCTATACTGCTATTGGGGTGGTCAAATAGAAAGAAGAGAAGTTAATCGTGACGAGCCTCTTTGGATAACGAGTGCAGACTGTATAACAACTCTGAAAACAACATGTTCATTCTTATTGTATTGTGGATACTCTCTTACTTTACAATAAAGAATGCCTTGAAATTTCACACTATTTAGTACTAAATTTATTTTAAACAATTAACTTTATATTTCATGTTGTGAACACTACTTAAATACACTTTACTATATTCAATATATTGGTTTTTACCACTTTCAACTTCGACTGCTACTTTCAGTTTCACGATTGTCAGTGACTCAGGTGCGCGTGACCTAGATAAATTTAAACACGGAACTCCTTTGTGTTTACCCATGCAATCCCGTAATAACCCAAAAGGATAACCAAAAAATACGGAAGTACCTTTTAGTGACGTCAACAGAAATAATGTTTTCGAGGGTGGTTCCGTTGTGAATTTTAGAGAAGATGGCAAAAACATATGATTACCTGTTTAAACTCTTATTAATAGGGGACAGTGGTGTTGGGAAAACATGTGTGCTTTTTAGGTTTTCTGAGGATGCTTTTAATTCAACGTTTATTTCAACAATAGGTAACATGTAATCAATTCCATCAAGTGTGAAGGAGGGGGGATGGTTTGCGAAACTTTTTGTAGTTTCACTATATTTTATTCACGTCTCAGTTTAAAATTTACAAATATTTACGTTCATACCACCAGTTTGATTTTCTTGCAAACCGTTCAGTAGCTAATTCAATCTTCCGTGTGTATTGTGGACATCACATGATCTGTTATATTTCGTTTGTAATTTTGTACAGTTTGGGAAACTTAACGATGTTTTCTAAGTATTATTTCAACTTTATCATAGCATTGTCCTTTTATGTGAATTCAGCAACACATCAAGTGTTGATGAATGTTGTCAGTATGTATTCGAAAGCTCAAATCAATCATATTTGTATATCTGGTCAACAATCTTATCATGAAACAGTTATCCTGACTATAACCCGTTCTATAGTACAAATGCTATATCCCTACTGCATGTACACTGTATCTGCCATCTGTTCTTTGAAGAGAACATCCAGAATTAGTCCTGGCTCTTCTTTATAACCTGTATCTTGGACCAGCAGTATAGTGACGGATAGTTTGGAACTGTGACTCTTGAAACATCAGTGTGATACATGTACTGATTTTTAAAGAAACATCATAGTCCAAGCTTGTAGCCCATATACAACTTACCTATACTGCATTATTTCCCACATACTTCTTACACAATCACTGTCATTAGAAACATGAGCTGAAATCTTAATGTTCTCCATATTAATATAATGTCTTGTACGTGTATGTCAAAATTTGGAGTACCTGCATTGGTCCATTACTAGAGCAGTTACCAATTGTTCAAGTAACACAGATTCAATTTATTTTAAAGATAGACAAGTAAACTAAGACTTTTCAAGACTTGACAGTTAGGTTGTCCAGTTTACAAAAGAGTCAATGTATGGTAACTAAGACTTCCCAAATTAAGACTTGAGCACTAGGTTGTCCATAGTCAATACATGTTAACTAAGACTTCCCAAAGACTTGATCACTAGGTTGTCCATAGTCAATGTATGTTAACTATGACTTCCCAAAGACTTGATCACAAGGTTGTCCATAGACAATGTATGTTAACTAAGACTTTTCAAAGACTTGATCACTAGGTTGTCCATAGTCAATGTATGTTAACTAAGACTTCCCAAAGACTTGATCACTAGGTTGTCCATAGTCAATGTATGTTAACTAAGACTTCCCAAAGAATTGACCACTAGGTTGTCCAAAGTCAATACTTGTTAACTAAAACTTTATAAAGAATTGACCCCTGAACAGAAAGCACCTCAACTGTGGCAATATGGAGTGAGGCTAAAAAGATACCAGCGTACATATATATTGGATGCTTATTTAATTGTGCAGAAGGAGTTATATTTACCAGGATAAACTACAACATCAGTAGAAATAATAAGATACAACTTTGAAAAATATGCTCAGTATTGAAAAATTATTCATTTATTTTCTTCATTTTTACAGGTATTGATTTTAAAATAAGGACAATAGAATTAGATGGTAAAAAAATTAAGTTACAAATATGGTGAGTATTATATTAAATATTGTACTTTCACTTTTCTCATTCTGAAGAAATTTCAAATCACATATAATTTTTTATAAATCTAACCTGGAATGATTGTGTAATGAGTCCTCATTTTCTTTAGGGACACTGCGGGACAAGAGAGGTTTCGTACCATCACTACAGCTTACTACAGGGGTGCCATGGTAAGCTTTACTGCTGTGTTGTCACCTGGCCAGAGTTTGAACTTGTTTTCAGACTTTTATTATCCATGGTTATTATAGATAAAATCAACTTTGAACTTAATTTCAGTCTGATATTTATACAGTGTATTTCATGACCCCAAATCACAGCTGGTTAGAGACAGTTTCTACTAGGAAATTTGGTCACTTTTTTCCAAAATGAACTATTTTTTCTGAATTTTTTTTAAAGTTTTCAAATTAAAATTCTTCCCAATAATGATGAGGAAAACCTGTTTTAACAAATGGGTGAAAAACACTTTTATACTAATCCAAACAGCTGAGTTTTTGAAACAAGTTAACTGTGATGCGTGGACACTTATTTTCATATTCATACTCATCTGGTATACATAACTGCTCAATTATGTTAATTAAGTACCATCAAAAGATGAAAAACTTCCTTTACCCTTGGCTTTATGACGACTAACTGGTAATAAAAGGAAGGTTAAGGACATTCTTCATTTCATTTTTAAGCATCATGACACAATCTATTAGGCCAAACAAAAAAATATGTGTGGTTCCGGTTACACTTCCAAAAAGATTAGGGTAGGTAGGTAGGGATTTTTTTTTTTTTTTTTTTTTTACAAAATGATTTTCTTAATTTTTTCTAAATAATACCTATCACTGCTTTGCAAATGGCATTTAGATGTGGTGTGATAATATACTAGTCAATATTGGTAGGGGACACCTACATGCTAGCTTAATTTCTTTGGATTTAACACTATTAAACACTTGCACTATGTTTTGCAAGGAGGCCGTCATTGCTGAAACTAAAACTTAAACTGGAGCCATTGATGGAAATCGGGGGAAATTCTGGAAAAAATATGAAAATTGCCCAAAAAAAAGTTTAGGGTCGGGGGTATAAAATAGGGAAGGACGGGTAACCGGAACCATACATATTTTTTTATTTGGCCTTAGGAAAATACAAGTGTAAGTTAACTTCACTATACCTTAAGTAAAGGTAGCTTAAGGGTGGATTTAGGGTTTTTCTGGCTTAAAGATTAGCCTTGCAGAAGTCATTATTTCTAGGGACCCTTAGGTCTGTAATGTCTAAACTTCTTTAAACCACCTTAAAGCTGAAAAGAACATAGTAAAAAAAAAAAACTGCTGACACTAGCTAGGAATCAAACTCTCAACCTTACCTGCAGGGCTGCTGATTATGCCACTCACTGACAGGAAAGTTTTAAGTTATAACCAGTTTTTTCCTAACTTTTGCAGAAAATAATTAGTAATACAGTCAAGCTTTGTTTGTGTTCCCAAGCAAATCATCCGGATTAATGAAGCATTCGGATTACTGAATTAGATCTTTTATATTAGGTAGATACATGTATAAATGTAAATTCCGTTCCCAACAAATGTTGACCGGAAGGTGAATTATCCATATTATCAAGGCTCAACTATAATTAATATTAAAATGAAGAAAGATGTTTGTTAATTGAGTGAACAACAAACAGTTGTACTGAATTAAATTTAGATATGCATAGGTACAATTTAAATCAGGACTGGATCCATGAGATATGGAAAACAAAATTCAACATGCATCATGTGATAAGTTATTAGGTTGAGATTTAGAACACCATTGTATATAGAAATGTTATTGTGTGAAGATTTCTTATAAATAACTTTAAGGTAACTTAAATTCTGGTTACATATACATTTAGATGGCTTCAAGGATTTGAAAACCTTGAAGTCATTGCATGCATAAGAGTGGCTTATTGGAAGGTAATAGAAATTAACTTCTCTTAGTTACCTGAAGTCACCTTTAAGTAAATGCTTGAAGATGATTTAGCCAGTCAGATTGTTATAATAGAATATTGACTATTGAGCAGATTTCATCTTTAAAAAAGATCAGTGAAATTTCATTGTTAGTGTTTAACACATTTAGGTTGATGATTTGAAGAAAAAGCTAGAAATGTTTTTCTCAATTGTTAAAGCTAATTGAATTTAATTGCACTTTGTCATCAAAAGGTACTTGAGAATAACATTTAACATTGATATGATAAAACTAACTAAACTTCAGAAAAAGTGTTCATGCAATTTAATGTTCAATTAATGTTCAAATGTCAATTTTCCAGGGAATAATGCTTGTGTATGACATCACAAATGAGAAGTCTTTTGAAAATATCCGAAACTGGATTCGCAATATTGAGGAGGTGGGTTCAGAATTACTGTTGATAATGTGTTGTTTCAATGTTTCCTGCTCAATGGCATGCCTTAAATGTCAGGACTGGTGAAGTCTGATGTATGACTAGGTGTTTTGTATTACAGCACGCCTCTCAGGATGTGGACAAGATGATTCTGGGTAACAAATGTGACATGAACGACAAGAGAGTGGTCTCTAAGGAGAAGGGTGAAGCTGTAAGTAGACAACTCACAAAATCAGCTCATGTCTGTCATATAAACTTCCATCAGTTTTTTTGTGCTCCACCAGTTTTTTTGTGCTCCACTTAAAAAAATAAGCATATTTTTGTTCTCTGTTCTATCCCAAGCAGAGGTAAAATCATCAAATATTAACTGATGTCATTCAAAATTGGACTCACAGATGACCTTGATTTTATCAGAATTTCTTGATCTTAGTCTATCAAAAAGTAAAATGATTGTGATAAAGACTTTTTAGTTTCTTGGTTTTAGGATTGTCAATGAATGGCATTTAGTATGTTCCGTTGTTAGACTTTCTATTAATTCAGGTTCTATTTCATTGTTTTGTAATTTATGGTATGATTACTACATTGAATTGTTTTATAATCTACGGTATGATTACTACATTGAATTGTTTTATAATCTACGGTATGATTACTACATTGAATTGTTTTATAATCTACGGTATGATTACTACATTGTTTTGTAATCTACGGTATGATTACTACATTGTCTTATAATCTACGGTATGATTACTACATTGTTTTGTAATCTACGGTATGATTACTACATTGTTTTATAATCTACGGTATGATTACTACATTGTTTTATAATCTACGGTATGATTACTACATTGTTTTATAATCTACAGTATGATTACTACATTGTTTTATAATCTACGGTATGATTACTACATTGTTTTATAATCTACGGTATGATTACTACATTGTTTTATAATCTACAGTATGATTACTACATTGTTTTGTAATCTATGGTATGATTCTAACATGTACTTATCAATTGCAAACTTTCAAAGTCATGGTCATTTTCGATTTATGCCTTATCATTTGTACAGTGCCACCTTGTTGCATAATTTGGATCAAACTTAAATGTAATTGTCACCATGTTCAAATAAAATCTCCTTTCAAGCATGAAAACTTCATCAAGACCTTGAAATGAATTCATGAATAGTATAAACTAATGACATTATTACAGAAAGGAAAAAAAAAATTAATGGAATGAGCAATATTCAGTTTTGTCCATGGTGTTTTGCTGTAGCCATATTTTATCAAACAAAGATTTTTAGCTCACCTGAGCTGAAAGCTCAAGTGAGCTTTTCTGATCACCCGTTGTCCGTCGTCCGTCCGTCTGTCCGTCTGTCCGTCCGTCTGTAAACTTTTCACATTTTCATCTTCTTCTCAAGAACCACTGGGCCAATTTTAACCAAACTTGGTACAAAGCATCCTTGGGTGAAGGGGAGTGTAAATTGTTAAAATAAAGGGTCAAGTCCCCTTACAAGGGGAGATAATCAAGAAAAGACAAAAATAGGGTGGGGTCATTAAAAAATCTTCTTCTCAAGAACCACTGGGCCAGAAAGGCTGAAACTTATGTGGAAGCATCCTGGGATAGTGTAGATTCTAAATTGTTAAAATCATGACCCCCGGGGGTAGGGCGGGGCCACAATAGGGAATCCAAGTTTTACATTGAAATACATAAGAAAAATCTTTAAAAATCTTCTTCTCAAGAACCACTGGGCCAGAAAAGCTGAAATTTATATGGAAGCATCCTGGGGTAGTGTAGAATCTAAATTGTTCAAATCATGACCCCCGGGGGTAGGGCGGGGCCACAATAGGGAATCCAAGTTTTACATTGAAATACATAAGAAAAATCTTTAAAAATCTTCTTCTCAAGAACCACTGGGCCAGAAAAGCTGAAACTTATATGGAAGCATCCTGGGGTAGTGTAGAATCTAAATTGTTCAAATCATGATCCCCGGGGGTAGGGCGGGGCCTCAATAGGGAATCCAAGTTTTACATTGAAATATATAGGAAAAATCTTTAAAAATCTTCTTCTCAAGAACCACTGGGCCAGAAATACTGAAACTTATATGAAAGCATCCTAGGGTAGTGTAGAATCTAAATTGTTCAAATCATGATCCCCGGGGGTAGGGCGGGGCCACAATAGGGAATCCAAGTTTTACATTGAAATATATAGGAAAAATCTTAAAAAATCTTCTTGTCACAGATAGTCGAGCGGATTTACTTCTTTACTAAATTTAAATATAACTCAAATACTTTTGTCCAGATAATTTACATATTTAATTACAATAAATGTACAAATATACAATATCCGTTGTTTGTCCTATAATGGGTTTTTGTCGTTCCGCGCCTTCCACTCCACCGGCTAGAGGAAGATCTCTAGGGCCTCTCTATTACACATCATTATGGGAGGGCGGACACACTGAAGGCACCTGGTGGCCTCTCCATACAGTCCCTACATTTACTATGGATGGATGGAACCTGCACCAACATACACATACAAGTTTTACTAATAAGCTCTTGTGGCTTAACACAAATACATACTTTACTCATTATCAGATTTACAGATAATGTACACGTCTTAGATAAGACTTAATTAAACACACATGATATGTTTAAACTATACATACAACCCATACACAAATGCAATATTACGAATTGCTACTTTAAGGACAAATAATTATGACGGAAATTTTACACCATACTTATAAATATTCAAATACGTGTTGCTATATATAGTAATCACATTAAACAAAATATACATGCTAAAACTGATGAGAAATGCGGTGACTGGGTGTTTTAGGACAAATTAATGATACAAGAAAATAACTAAGATAAAATGATAAACATAAACCTTACCTCAGAAAAGCTGGACCATTGCACACAAGAAAATACAAAGTAAGCCCTGCAAAACAACTGGTACTCGGTGTAACTATCAATGCTGGTTACAAAAGTTACAAAACATATCTGAGAGGGGTAAAAGCGTCCTCCTCTCTGGACTGCCGTGTCCAAACTAACTTGCACGGACTGGCGGGTTTTAAGGTCCAGTGAACTGAGGTTCAGTGAAGGATATGTACAGTAATAACACATTTAAAACAAAGGGGTTCCCCACGGGATATTTACATGAAATTTAAAATACATTACCAAAAGTATGATAGGATGATTTTAATGTGACAATTGCCTCCCTTTTTTAAAGAAGTACGCAGTACTTTATTTACACATTAAAATACACGAAAAGAACATCTGATTGATAAAACACTGAATACTCGGAAGATAACTTATTTACAAACGACTTAAGTAGTCAGCACCAACATTGTCTTGGCCCTTAATGGCCTGAATTCTGAACCTGTAAGGTTGAAGGCTAAGTGCCCAACGCATAAGTCTTGGGTTTGTTACCTTAGACTTGTTCAGATATACAAGGGGACTATGGTCCGTTTCTAACACAAACTCTTGCCCATACAGGTAGTTTTGGAATTTTTGAATAGCCCACACTATTGCTAGGCACTCTTTCTCAACTGTTGCATACTTGCACTCACTCTCTTTAAGCTTCCTACTAGCATATGCAATTGGTAGTTTTTGACCTTGTTCCCATTGTAAGAGGACTGCTCCCAGACCTCTGTCTGAAGCGTCTGTCTGTAGAATGAATGTATCATTGATGTTGGGGAGTTTCAGAATGGGGCACTTTGTAAGTGAACTCTTCAACGTCTGAAATGCTAAATTATGAGATTCTTCCCAAAGAAGCTTATTAGGAGAACCTTTTCTAGTCAAATCAGTAAGAGGTGAAGCAATCTGGGCAAAGTTTGGCACAAATTTACGGTAAAACCCGATTAAACCAAGGAATGACCTTAATTGCTTTTTGGTAAGCGGGACAGGTGCATTACGTATTGCATCAACCTTGTCTAAGTCTGGTTTCAACTGCTCATTACCCACAATGTGTCCAAGGCAGTCTATGTTTGAATAAGCCAATGAACATTTACTAGGCTTGGCTGTCAAACCTGCTTGGCGTAATCGCTGAAAAAGCTCATTCAAAACAATAAAATGATGTTCTAATGACCTTGTGTAGACCAAAATATCGTCTATAAAATTGTCTACATTCTCCATACCATGCAAGACCTTGCGCATCAACCTTGAGAAAGTAGCGGGAGCCGTTACCAACCCGAAGGGCATCACCCTAAACTGGAACAATCCTTTCCCCGTTTTGAAAGCTGTTTTTGGTTTTGCTTCATCTGTTAATTTTACCTGCCAATAACCTTTTGAAAGATCGATTTTTGAAAAGAATTTGTGACCTGCAAGTTTGGAAAACATTTCGTCAGTGTCAGGCATTGGTTCAGAATCAAATGTAGTCTGATTGTTCAACAGACGAAAATCTATACAAAACCTATTTGTTCCATCTTTCTTTGGCACTATAACGATGGGTGAACAATACGGAGAGTCGGAGGGTTCAATAATGTTCATACTCAACATGTCACTTACCTCTCTGTTGACTGTCTCCTCCATAGAATACGGTATTTGACGACTTTTTACATGAATGGGTTTTGTACTTGCCATTCTTATGTCGTGTTCAAGGACATTTGTGAGACCTGGCTTGTCTTGGAAAACATCACTGTACTGACCCAACAATTTCAACAACTTGTCCCTGTTCTCTGTTGATAATGAAGGGTTTATATTAACATTACTTCCACTAACCTTTGATTGAGGATACTCGTCTAACTGGCCTTCTTGGTTTTCGTCATCTACACAATCAACCACTGATGCGTTAACCAAACCAAGTACACCTGCATCACACGTCATCGAAACAATATCAGAAGTTCTCTCAACATACCTCTTTAATAGATTTATGTGGAACGTTTTCTTCTTACCTTGAACATCCAATTGGTAATCTACTCTGTTTACCTTGTTAGTCACCACAAAAGGTCCTTTCCACTGAAGCAATAACTTATTGTTGTCAGTTGGCAATAGAACTAATGCTTTCTCTCCTACCTTTAGACTTCTATGCCTTGTTTTCCTGTCATAGTTTTTCTTATACCTGGTAGACGACTTTTCTAAACTCTCCTTTGCTAAGTCTGCCATAGATTGAAGTCTGTCTTTTAGATCCAGGACGTATTGATATGTAGTCTTTACGTTGGGATCTGGAATATCCTTGGTCCATAACTCTTTCAAGATTGAAATTGGTCCACGAACTGATCTGCCATATACAAGCTCGAACGGAGAAAATCCAAGACTCTCCTGTGGAACTTCTCTATAGGCGAACAAAACTGCACTCAGGTACTTATCCCAATCTTTAGGTTTTTCAGAACAAAGTCGCTTCAACATTTGTTTCAGAGTTCCGTTGAATCGTTCTACCAACCCATTGCAACTCGGATGATATGGTGTTGTTGTCCATTGACGAAGAGAAATAAGTCGACTCACCTCTGACATAAGGGAAGAAGTAAATTGTGTTCCCATGTCTGTCAACATCTCACGGGGCACACCAATCCTCGAGAACATGTCCATAAGTGCCTCTGCAACTCTCTCTGTCTCGATGTTGGGTAAAGCTATAGCTTCGGGATAGCGAGTGGCATAATCTACCAAAGTCAAAATATAACGGTTACCTTTGTCTGTGGTTGGGTAAAGTGGTCCAACAAGATCGACGGCAACTCTCTGGAAGGGTTCATCTATGAGTGGCATTCGCTCCAGTGGCACTTTCTGTACCTTACCTTTGTGAACTGTGCGTTGACATATGTCACACGACTGACAGTAACGTCGCACTTCACTCTGCATCCCTGGCCAGAAGAATTCAGATGTAACTTTTGCTAAGGTTCGCTGCGTCCCCAAATGACCTGCTAACAAAGAGTCATGCGCTAGTTTCATTACCTGGTCCCGAAACTTTGCAGGAACAACCAACTGGGTATACACCTTTTCTTGTCCTCCAGTATGAGTGGTATATTGTCTAAAGAAAAGTCCATTTTTCGTAAACCAACTCACCTTACCATTCTTCTTCATCTGAGTCACGTGGCTCTCAACATATTCACGTACCTTTTTCAGAGAAACATCCTGCTCTTGTGCATTTCTAATTTTCAATGGATCAAGATCCTCAGATATGATGGCTGGCACTTTAAGCTGAGCGTACGGTTTGCTCTTGTTACGTTTCTGTTGCCGGGTCTCAACAGCATTTATCTGCCAATCTGGGTCTGGTTGAGTCGCTGGCTTGGCCTCTGGGACATTACCAACTATCAAGTCGTACACAGGATTCTCCATGCACCATACCTCATACTGTCCTTTCAGGAAGGGAGTGTTAATGGAAACCTCTGCAATCGGAACAATTATTTTGGAACCATCTGCTAGAACACAAGTCTGTTTCCTACCTTGTACTAGGTCTTCCTCTTGTATTTTGCTCCTCCTTATGACAATTCCACTGCAGCCAGTATCTCTCAAGACGGTCACTGGTACATTGTTAACATATCCTGCAGATATCGGCATACTAGAAGCTAAGCTCCTTTGGCAAGATGAAAATGACGTAGTTGTTGGAAAAGATGATGCAGTGGAATCTATAACAGAGTCTGAGGGCATTGTGCTAACAAAACATACCTTTTGCTCAGAAGATCCAACGTCCTGTACAGCATGCGACACATTATTAAAAGTTGTTTTGGACCTACACTCTGATGCAATATGTCCAACTTTGTGACATTTAAAGCACTTACGCTCTGACTTGGGTATGAATCTTTTCTTATCAAAAGATGAACTCTTGTTCTCACCAACATCCACTTTCTTTACCTGATCAACCTTTTTTGACAAAGAAATCTTACCCTTACCTGCAGCTTGAAGCGCACTTAAGTCGCGGGCATCTTTGTACTGGTCAGCTAAGTTTGCCATTCTCGTTAAACTCTCAGGTATTCTCTCCTTCAAAAATAATTTCAAATCTTGACTACATACATGCAGAAATTGATCTCGCAACATAAGATCATACAAACCTTCATATGTTTTGGTTGCCTTTGCCATTTCAACCCACCTATCAAAGTAACTACTCAGTCGAACAGCAAATTGAGAAAAGGTTTCACATTGATCTGGCCTACATGATCTAAACTTCTTTTTAAAACCATCATCGGTCAATTCAAACCGTTTCAATAAAGCGGTCTTAAGAGTATTGTAATCAAGGGCATCAGTTTTGGGCATCAACGCATACACATCTAAAGCCTTTCCCTTTAACAATGCACTAAGATTTATAGCCCAGTTTGATTTATCCCAGTGCTGAGCTTCAGCATATCTTTCAAATCTAAGGAGAAAGCTATCCATCTCATCATGAGAATCATCAAAGAAAGGGAGTTTGGGTATTTTGGGAAAAACATGACCGACGGTAACCTTTGCCTCTTCTGACAAAATAGGCTTTTGTTCTAGTTTCATTCTCTCAATATCATTTCTCATTTTCTCTCTCTCTAACTCAAAACTTAGTCTCTCTCTTTCAACCTCAGCTTGAGAATTTATTTTGATCTTATCTAACTCTCTCTGAGCTTGTCTTTCATCTCTCTGTATAGCTTGCTGCTCTTTAATAAAATTTGTCAGGTCTGACGCTTGAAGACCTAAGCTCTCCCCAAATAATTTCAACTCATTTAAATCATCCATTTTTGAGATAACTAACACATGTGACGAAACAAATTTTGATTCGAACCTCACTTCACCCGTGACTACCGTAAAACCAGCAAAAAATATGCATTTACTAACCGCATCGCGATAATCTTTACATCCAGCTACGCAACATGTACCATTGCTTACTCTGTCTTTACCAGAATGGTCCAACTCACTGAGACAGGCCCAACTCCTGTTAGCACTTTTCTGAGGTCCCAAACAACCAGAATCCGGCTGATTCTCTACAACATAGAACAAACACAACAGCAAATTGGAAAATACAAAATGAAACAGCATGTAGAAAACAAAAAGCAAATAAAAAAAAAATTCAACAGGAAGAGAAAAATGTTTCTTTTTTTTTTATATATATATTTTACAAAATTTTACAAAGTATACTTGAAAACTTAAGATGGTTTCAAAAACAATAGAACAGAAAAATCATATTCTTAGGGAATCTTATCCCACTTCTGACACCAATTTGTCACAGATAGTCGAGCGGATTTACTTCTTTACTAAATTTAAATATAACTCAAATACTTTTGTCCAGATAATTTACATATTTAATTACAATAAATGTACAAATATACAATATCCGTTGTTTGTCCTATAATGGGTTTTTGTCGTTCCGCGCCTTCCACTCCACCGGCTAGAGGAAGATCTCTAGGGCCTCTCTATTACACATCATTATGGGAGGGCGGACACACTGAAGGCACCTGGTGGCCTCTCCATACAGTCCCTACATTTACTATGGATGGATGGAACCTGCACCAACATACACATACAAGTTTTACTAATAAGCTCTTGTGGCTTAACACAAATACATACTTTACTCATTATCAGATTTACAGATAATGTACACGTCTTAGATAAGACTTAATTAAACACACATGATATGTTTAAACTATACATACAACCCATACACAAATGCAATATTACGAATTGCTACTTTAAGGACAAATAATTATGACGGAAATTTTACACCATACTTATAAATATTCAAATACGTGTTGCTATATATAGTAATCACATTAAACAAAATATACATGCTAAAACTGATGAGAAATGCGGTGACTGGGTGTTTTAGGACAAATTAATGATACAAGAAAATAACTAAGATAAAATGATAAACATAAACCTTACCTCAGAAAAGCTGGACCATTGCACACAAGAAAATACAAAGTAAGCCCTGCAAAACAACTGGTACTCGGTGTAACTATCAATGCTGGTTACAAAAGTTACAAAACATATCTGAGAGGGGTAAAAGCGTCCTCCTCTCTGGACTGCCGTGTCCAAACTAACTTGCACGGACTGGCGGGTTTTAAGGTCCAGTGAACTGAGGTTCAGTGAAGGATATGTACAGTAATAACACATTTAAAACGAAGGGGTTCCCCACGGGATATTTACATGAAATTTAAAATACATTACCAAAAGTATGATAGGATGATTTTAATGTGACACTTCTTCTCAAGAACCACTGGGCCAGAAAAGCTGAAACTTATGTGGAAGCATCCTGGGGTAGTGTAGAATCTAAACTGTTCAAATCATGACCCCCGGGGGTAGGGCAGGGCCACAGTAGGGAATCCAAGTTTTACATTGAAATATATAGGAAAAATCTTTACAAATCTTCTTCTGAAGAACCTCTGAGCCAGAAAAGCTGAAACTTATATGGAAGCATCCTGGGGTAGTGTAGATTCTAAATTGTTCAAATCATGACCCCCGGGGGTAGGGCGGGGCCATAATAGGGAATCCAAGTTTTACATTGAAATATATAGGAAAAATCTTTAAGAATCTTCTTCTCAAGAACCACTGGGCCAGAAAAGCTGAAACTTATATGGAAGCATCCTGGGGTAGTGTAGATTATAAATTGTTCAAATCTTGACCCCCGAAGGTAGGGCAGGACACAATAGGGAATCCAAGTTTTACATTGAAATATATAACTTAAAGAAAAATCTTTAAAAATCTTCTTTTCAAGAACCACTGGACCAATAAAGCTGAGACATATTTGGAAGCATCCTGAGGTAGTGTAGATTCTAAATTGTTCAAATTTTGACCCCCAGTGGTAGGGCGGGGCCACAATAGGTATATTAAAAGGGGGAAATCTGGTAAAGAACAGCATGGCCAAAGTTACTCAGGTGAGCGATGTGGCCCATGGGCCTCTTGTTCTTTATCATTGTGTTTTTGTGTATTTGATAGCTGGCAATAGAACATGGCATCAAGTTTATGGAGACTAGTGCCAAAGCTAGCATTAATGTGGAGGAGGCCTTCTTTACATTAGCCAGGGACATCAAGGCTAAAATGGACAGGAAGTTGGTGAGTCATTTGTATCATATCACATAGATATTCTAGGTTTGCAATTCACTCACAGAGATAATTTTCAAATATACTGATTCAGAAACATGTTTATAAAATAGATATATGTAAGATATATATAAGATAGATATATGTAAAATAGAAGTCCTAGAAATTATCTCTGGCACAAGTTTTGATTTTTACAGAAATATAAAGAATATCTAATCTTTCATGTGAATAAATGTCTTTATATGAGGGCTGTTCAGAAATTATTGAGGCTTTTACTTAACTCCAGAGAACACAGAGATCAATTGATGACAGTTCACGAGAATTTTATCAAGAACAAATGATATAAATACACCGATCATTAGATAAGTCCCAGTGAAATTCTAAACTTGGATATGTCCATTGACCCGGAGCACACCACAGAGAGTATCAAATCATTTTAACATTACTTTAGTGTTATTTTTTTTCTCATATTGAAATGATTGAAAAACTTCAAATGTTCTTTACCTGTCCTCACTTGATAACATTCTATGTATTGAATAGGCACAAATTCTCTTCATTCTTTAAAACTCCCAATTATAAACTTGGATGCTGTTACTATCCCAATGTGAAATATTTCTGAAAAATCTCAAGTACAGTTAGATGTGCCTCACTCGGTAACAAATTTAGGACTGGTGATGTTAATTCATCTGTATTAACTGATGGATGTCCAGCTCCTTTGCTTTCACTATGGTTATAAATACTGTCAGAAAAAGTAAAAATCAACGATAAACTAAAGCCCTAGACATTCCCCTCTGCTTTGTGCTAGAAGGTCCCTTGTCTGAATTCTTTTCAGCTCTGCAAAAAAATGAATGTATGCTGGCTGCTTTGACTTGACATCATAATTCATTTTGCTGTCATATTCAGATTTCTACATCTTGATGAAGAGTCTTTGTGATATCCGTATTTCTGATCAAAAATCTATCAAACTTGCATAAAATAAAGTCAAGATATAGATCAAAATATAATGTGTATGATTTCGTGAATTTTCCTGTGTTCTCTGGATCAACCACGGTTTAGTATGTAGTTGTTACAGAATTCCATCCCCTGATTTCAAGACTGCACCAGGTAATCCTACCATCGACACTTAAATAGTAGGTTATTTATGAGAAAAATTGAAATTTCAGAAATATATTTTGCTCTTATATATTGTTGGTGTATGTTAAATGTTTATACCAATTTTCACCAGAAAACGTTGATTAGAAGGGAAAATAAACAAAATGTCTCAATAACAGCCCTCGTATGTTTTTATTTTATTTGTGTTATAGTGTTGTTTTTTTTTACTACAGGAATCCTCAAATGCTCAGGCAAAAAATGCAGGTGCAATAACACCTGGTAAGACACAGGCCAAGAAGTCTGGCTGGAGGTGCACCATATTGTGATGTCAGCTGGCATTGTGATAGGTTTTTTAAAACTGTAAACTGATATTTTATTGGCTGTTGGTGAGACAGAAGAAGCTGTTGGTCAATTTTGAACATGTGATATTGAACCCTGCAACCAATCAAAGGGTACAGTATTCATCAGAGAGAGAGAGAGAGGACTCTGTGTGACTTTGTGATTATACATCATTAACCACATTGCTGTATATTTCTGCTTGTTTGTCAGGAAAAAGAAATATTGGCCAACACTTTCATATTTATATTTTTTAATAATACTGTTAAGTGTACATCATATTGACATATTCCATGCATGATGTACTTACCATATTGCTAATAACCCTAACGACTCTGTAATAGACGTAAGTGAAACAATGTATGTTTAACTGTAAAACAGATGAATTTAAAAATGGTGTCACAATTCTCTTGTTGTTTAAAACGTAAGGAGAAATACTTACCAGTAATTTTTTTAATGAATCCTGCTTTGTTTGTTGGTAGAGTGTTGTTGATTGTTTATATGTAATCTTTAAGGAGGTGAATGTCTGTTGGAGTTTTTTCCTTGACCAACATATAATAATCCTAGGTTTATCAGCAACTGTACTTGATCCTAATGTTTTGTAGGTCACCTCTCCTGTTTAATATCACAATTTACTGCTTTTAACTACATGTAGTACTAAAATTTAATTTTGGAATTTGAAATGACAAATTACACTTTATGGAATTTATAGAGACTTGTATCTGAGTAAGAAGTCTGCAGAGCTGGCGTGAGTGATAATTATGAATTGTATGTTAATAATTTCTGATCTGAATTATTTAGCCACTACCAGAAACATTAATGATGTACAACCTGTGGCCTTCAAAATGTTTATTTATCCACAAGCCTGAACCATTTATGTGCATTTTTTGTTAAAAGTCTGATTAACTGTACAACATGTTAATAATTGCTTGGGATCTGTAAAGCCTGTTAAGATATGACTGCTTTGGTGGTCTCTTGTCAATAGAAATAATAAAAGCTTATTGATAACTTGATTTCTTGCTTTATGATGGGGTATAATAGGCATGTACAAAGCCCAGCATTGCTATCCATTTCTGTATATGTCATTGTCTGGTTTATGTTAAAAAATGTTTGACCTCTCAGAAAGGTTGCTATAAAACTTAAAAGTTTAAGAATTGGTCAGTATTTTGATAAATTATTGAGTACTCATTATAATCAATTTAGAAATGAGGAAAAATAAGATGAGGACCATCATGACCATAGCCAGGTTCCTGAAAAGTAGGGTGCAGGGGAGGGTGTAGGAAGGGTATCCCCTCCTCATAGGCAGAAAATAAGGTCACTTGAGTCAATCAGGTGACCTATGCTATCTGGTTTTGCTTGTCCTTTTGTGTCAGTTGTAAAACTGTCTAACATTTTCAGTTTCTTCTCTGGAATGGCTGAACCAATTTAAATCGATTTCTATGGGTAAAGGGGGAAAATTGTGAATTTCATGGTCCCTGGAGCCTGAGGGATGGGGGCTCTATTGATAATATAGTGAAAAAGCATACATTCATTAAAAAGCTTTCCCTATGTATATTTAACAGAAAAACTTAGTGCAAAGTTATGATTAGGCCATCATTAAAAATATCTTTGTTTCCCCTAACCCGACCCTAAAATCTCAAGATGGGTAGGTAGGTAGGCAAATAATTTTTTTTTGGACACCAGCTTTTGAAAATACATTTTAAAATTTAATGGAATGATACTTTTATAAATAAGTTAAGTACAAAAGAAAGCGATTTGTAAACAGCTAGAATACCATACAAATTTATGCCGTTTAAACTCAACATTTGATGTTAATTAATTCACAACTATTATTCAGTCGAACTTGTGATGTGTCTCATATCAGAGTAAATTTATTGAAATCGAATACATCTGTTTAAAAGATACTTGAGAACGCAAAGACTATAGTCATCAGAGTATATTTTTCATACCTACTATCAGCTTCCAGTGCTTACACATGCAACGTACATTTTCAGGGGCTTCAAATTGTGCAGTGGGTCTAGAGCATTTCGTTTGGGAGTCTCGAAGTAATGAGCTATTTTTAAGTTGCAGGTTCATATCCAAATGCGGGACGTTGAGACCGGTTCTCCGAATGAGACCGTAAAATCTTAATTAGGTCCAGTGTCGCAGTAGATATATATACTGGCACGAAAAAGATCCCTCACTGCTCAATGGCCTAAAGTGCTGCGTACAAGTCTAAATTTGGAGCCCTTCACCAGACAAATGTTTAAGTAAATGTTTTTGTCCCAACAATTATCAAAGGAATTCAAACCAAAGAAACAACCAATCTTCAAGGACCTTATTAAAGAGAAATACACAGACGTCTCAGGAAGCTTGTATCATAATCTCAAATCTATTTGGAAAAAGTATGTTAACAATATTGAATTGAGACAAACCGTATCTAAAAATGAAGGAGTGTCATACAAAATGTCAAAGTCACGAAGTTTAACCCATGAATAAAAGGCATGAAGAAACCATAGGCGTCGGAAACAAATTGAAAGTGGGGGGCTAATTGAAAAAGAAAAACATTTCAAACCGGAAAAATAACTTGACAAGCAAAAAAAAAAAGGGGAAAATTAAAAATTGTCCAAACCCAAAAATCCGGGGGGGGGGGGGGGGGGGGGGGGGGGGGGGGGGGGGGAGGGGGGGATTAGGATTGAACTTCTGTCAGTACCATTTTTTTTTCCAAACGCTACCACTTACCCTTCTTTGATTACACTCCAATGTGCCTGTTGAAAGTGGGGGGTGGGGGTGGGGTGTGTGCTAAACCTACGCCCCAATGTTCAATGCCTTTATTATGTCTATCTTTGCAAGAAAAGTGGGGGGGGGGGCTAAGCCCCCATAACCCCCCCCCATGGTTCGCTACGCCTCTAAAAAGGACGTTTGAATTCTACTCGTTAGGATGAAATATGCAGAATTATTTACAATTCGTATGGCCCGATATAGTAAACATAGGAATATTGATAAACTGTTCATAAGATAAAACTGAAATTTAATAAAAAGCAGTGAAATTGATTGGTGTTTCAGAAGGTGGACCCCTTGTCTGCTCCTGAGGGGTATCATAAGGATGGTCTACGGGCATAAGCATGCTCTCTAGGTACCTTAATTTTAAGACAGGTAAGTAAATACAACCGAAACACTCTGAATGTCATTGTATATTTTATTAACAGTGTTTCAAGAGTGTAGGATTCTTATATGTTAAGGCATAAGGTTGATACGTCGCCTCTTTTTAAACACGAAGTGACCAAACTAACCCTCTGTAACTACATGTTGTGGGCGCCATTTTGTTTCCAACAAACACTTGAAAATCATAGAACAAAATTGGTCGTTTTGATAAAAACAGATTTTTATGAAATTCTATTTTATAAAAGTTGATAAACTTAAAAAAAAAATATTGGAATAATTTTATAAAAATAAACTTTTCAGTCGGCGCGTTTTAATTGGGTCGGTCGTGTTAGGGGAAACAAAGGTATTTTTTACTTTGGCCTTACCAAGGGTGTGTGATATTCTTGGCCCCAGCCTTGGTCAGAGGTTCTGGTGTTAGGGTGGGGCTCTATTATATGTATATAGTGAAAATACATTAATTCTTAGAAAATCTGCTCTTTATTTGGCAGAAAAACTAAGTGCATGGTTATGATTAGCAAGGGTGCCTCTTCCAGGATAATGAAATTTATGGCCCTGACGTTGGTCAGGGTTTCTGGTGTTAGGGTTGGGCTCTGTTGATTATATAGTGAGAATGCATAAATTCTTTGAACATCTCTCCTCTGCTTCTGGGTATTAAGCAGATAAACTAAGTGCATGTTATGATTAGCAATGTTCCTTCCAAAATCATGAAATTCATTACCGTTTGGTCAGGGGTTCTAGTATTAGAACAGGGCTCTATTGACTGTATAGTGAAAATGCATTAATTCATTGAAAGTTCTCTGAGTGAGTGAGTCTCCTGGATAATTACATGTAGCAGGGCAAACTTATAACATGGTTATAATGAATGAGGGTCAGTTTTATACCAGATTTGTGAAATTCTTGACTAGGTCAAGGGTTTTGGTGCTGGGCAGGGCTCTAATGATTATGTAGGGAAATTTTAGAGTTCAGTTATTTACATAGGTTTACTTCATCAAACATTACCATTAATGAAATTCAAACTTGATTGTATGTTACCAATTCAATTTTGAAATTGAAAGTAACTTTGGTTTGATTGCAAAACTATTGTAAATTAAAAGTTATTCAAAGACCAAAAGAGCCCAGTGTGCGAGGAATTGTTATTGTTTTATGTGCTAAAGCATTATCGTGTAGGTTAGTTTGCATGGTGTTAGTGAATAATGGGTATGTATTAGCACTGGCAAGTATAAGCAAGTAAAAGTACTGGGTCCCGTTTTACAAAAGAATTTATGACTAAGACCAAAATTTAATTCTGCTTGTAACTTTTTAATTTACATTATATTGAAAATGGTTTTAATCTTTTTAAAAGGAATGTAGTGAGATATTTTTATGCTAGAGATTTTAAACCAAATCATTTATTTTACAAAATTTTACAGTCAATTTAAGTTTTCAGTCTTAGTCATAAGTTCTTTTGTAAAACGGGTCCCTGATCTACATTTATACGAGTTGTTGCTGAGTATTAGTCTAAGACTTGTTGATTACATGTACTCTGTTAGAGTGAAGCATGTAGATATAGCAAACCCTGTGCGAAGCCATATCTATAATTCTATATACTTGATCAGGGCTTTCAAAAAGATTAGAAACAGGCAGGTACTTTTTAAAAAATAGGAGGTACCTTGTGGAAGAGATTTTAATTACATGTAAATATGTTATCAAATTTTTCTCCAACTAATATTTTGGCCGGTACATTTATGATTTCAGCAGGTTAAAAGTACTGGGTACTGGCACATTTTGAATGGCCTGTACATGTACCAATTTTCATTATGGTGCACTTTATTACTTGGTGATTTATATTGAGCTTGAATAATCTTGCAAGATAAACTTGTAATATACAAGTGTATTTGTAACAAAACAAGAAAATGCAAAGAAACTTAAATCTCAATACTGTAGATTTCTTATTTTACACGAGTACTAAATATCATGAAATGATGTCAAATCATAAGAATACATTTACATTTCCAAATATTTTTCCATAAAATTCTTTGCAAATTAGAAAAAGTTCATGTTCTAATGAACTACCATGGGATGAGCAAGATGTAAAGTAAAAAAATAGTGCAAACTTCTTTTTTTCAAAGATGATCGTTGAATGACAAAAATATTTGGAAAATCATCATAAAAACAATGTAAATATAAGGAATGAATTTAACGCGCTTCATGAAATATGCCGGCGTAAAGAGTCGTAGTTCATGTCCTCATGAATTCTGAAAAATTAAACTAATTTCTTAAATTAATTCATGATTGTACTGTTTATGAAGAGGTTTAATATGTATTTCTGAATCAGCAATAAAAAAAGTCATGAGGCCCAAGGGCCTTAACAGTCACCTGAGTATAATACAACAATTTAGAGGATCCATATAGTATAAAATAAACTGAAAGATGAAGCTTTAAATTCTAATCTATCCCCCATTTATCACTATCACAATACAGAAAATTAACAAACTATTAGTTCTTCTGTACCACTTTTAATCCCATATTGTGACCTCTCACATTGGCCTCTCTTGGTCTTTGAAGAACATTTAATGAGATAAGTTATTTTTGTCTCATTTTGATTTATTTATTATTTACAAGTCTACCTGATCATTAAAACTATGAAAGTACTTTTTGTATTATACAATATCATTTTTTGCATGATTTTCTTAGTTTATTGACTTTCAAATACATAATTATCTAAAGTGAATGGCAAAGGGGAATAACTTCTCTCAGTAGAATACAAATTAATAGAGCGCTGGCCAATAACCAAATGGTCCTGATGTTCAAAAATCTGGTAAAAATATCCTTGCTTATTAAAACTTTTATTCTGTTTGCCTCCGATCTGCCAAGGAGCAGAGAAGATTTTCAAAGAAATAATGCATTTTCACTACAGATTCAACATAGCCCTATCCTAACACTAAAACTCTTGTCCCTGGGTCATGAAATTCACAAAATTGGTAGAGGTACCCTCATCATCATAGCTATGCACTTAGTTGAAGATTTTCAAAGAATTAACACATTTTCACTATATTATCAATATAACCCCCCCCCCCAAAAAAAAAAAACCCACCAAAACCTGGGACAAGTTTTAGAAAAAATTTGTAAGAAGCACAATTGTTCATCATTACTATGCACTTTGTTTATCTGCTAAACACTAAGTGGCAAACAGGATTATTTAACAGAAATAATGCATTTTCACTATATCATCAAAGAAATTATGCTTTTTCACTATATTATCAATAGAGCCCCCCCCCCCCCCCCCCCAACCTGGGACCATGAATTTCACAATTTTTGAACTAAAGAATCCATAGAGCCCCACCCTAACATCAGAACCCCCTGACCCAGGGGCCATGAAATTCACAATTTTGGAAAAAGCATCATTGCTTATCATATTCATGCACTTAGTTTGTTTAAATAATACCCAGGAGCAGAGAAGAAGATATTCAAAGAATTAATGCATTTTCACTATATAATCAATAGAGCTCCACCCTAACACCAGAACCCCTGACCAGGGGCCATGAAATTTACAATTCTGTAAAGGGCATCCTTGTGCATCATAACCATGCATATAATTTGTTTAAATAATGCCCAGGAGCAGAGAAGAAGATTTTCAAAGAATTAATGCATTTTCACTATATAATCAATAGAGCCCCACCCTAACACCAGAACCCCCTGATCCTGGGGCCATGAAATTCGCAATTTTGGAAAATGCATCCTTGTGCATCATAATCATGCACTTCGTTTGTTTAAAAAGTACCCTGGAGAAGAGAAGATTTTCAAAGAAATTATGCACTTTCACTATATATGGTCTATATACCCCCCACCTAGCACCAGAACCCCTGACCCAGGGGCCATGCATTTAACAATTTTGGAAAAGGCATCTTTGTGCATCATAACCATGCACTTAGTTTGTTTAAATAATACCCAGAGCAGAGAAGAAGATTTTCAAAGAATTAATGCATTTTCACTATATAATCAATAGAGCCCCGCCCTAACACCAGAACCCCTGACCCAGGGGCCATGAATTTCACAATTTTGGAAAAGGCTTCTTTGCTTGTCATAACCATACCCTTAATTTGTTTAAATAATACCCAGGAGAAGAGAAGAAGATTTTCAAAGAAATAATGCACTTTCACTATATGATCTATATAGCCCCACCCTAGCACCAGAACCCCTGACCCTGGGGCCATGAAATTCACAATTTTGATAGAGGGCCCAATGCTTATTACAATCATGCCAACAGTTTGATTGCTTGGTGTCCAGGAGTAAAGAAGAAGATTTTTAATGATTGCATCAATTTTGGTGGTTTTAGCCCCACCCCTGGGGCCCTAGGGGGGCAGGGACCATGAAATTCACAATCTTTGTTCCACTTCACCCAAAAATGCTATATGCCAAAATTGGTTGAAATTGGTTGAGCGGTTCTAGAGAAAAGGTTGAAAATGTTCAAAAGTTAATGGACGACGCATGACGACGGACGAAAACGGATAGGAATAGGTCACCTGAGTGACTCAGGTGACCTAAAAAGTGTGCAGTTCTATTTCTCAAGTGGAGCTTCAAGCAATAATAACAATTCAATGTATATTTAGGAATCTGAAATATACCAGGAATACAATTAACACAAATAAATCACACTAGATACTGTTCATGTTACATGTATCTTTAATAAATAATAAGTATTTAGCAACATTGTATTATACAAGCATTATAATGTTTATCAAGCAAATACACTGTCCACATACAAATACACATATATGTAGATCACCTACACAAGGAATTATTTATATGAAAATCAATTAAAACCTTTACAGAAAAAGAAAAGATTACACAACCTTAAACAATTATAATCATTAGATTCCAATCACTGCAAAATACAAACAACTTAGATAACCTTGAAATAGGAAAGGTCTATTTCTTGGGAGGAAAAAAGGCATTTTTTTTTAAAGGAAAATAAAAAAAAATAATGTATAAAAAATGATTTCTAACATAACTGACTTTTCTGCTCATCAAGGATACTCAAGAATTCATCATATTCATTTACAAAGTACACTGAAAAATACGTTAAAATTCTTGTCAATTTAGGTAAATAATGTCAAGTGCTTTTTTCCCCATTAAACTGCCTCATTTCATTAGTTTTTGAGCATGAAGTGTTATAAACATATAAATTCAAATATAGTTTGCATGTAAATAACAAATGAATATTGCCCTTGAAAACATCTTAAGAGCTATGTAATTAAAAAAAATGGAATGTACAATTTTTGTACATATCACAGTCTATGTACATGAATTATAAATGTACTGGTATTTTTCACATAAAGACAGTTTGTACATTTTAATACTTTATTCAAAATGATATGCTGATCCTTTATTAAAAGTTGAGTCAAAGCCTCCATTCTGGAGACAAGCTAGCAGGCACACTTAGAATTGGCTGTGTTTGGTGTGGAGTTTTGATTTGGAGGCAGATGGAAGCTGTCCGCGGATTCATTTGGATTTTGTACTTGTGAGGACTGATCCAGGTCTATAGAATATAGTCCACTATTAGGAGAGGTCTCGTATAACTTCACCAGTTGCTGGGCCACTTGTAGGAATGCCTCCTCAATACCTAAATGAGATAAAAACAAGAGGAGAATCAGTATACATAGTTGTGGTAATGCCAATTACAACCTCAGTCATCTTACATCTACTATTCTCCCAAACCAGCAATCTCATTATATACATTTATACACAAAAATCTTTAAAGGTTCTTATTATCATCTTGAGAAGTTGTGCCAGATAAGAACTTAAGTTTCTCCAATACAGATATTTACACTTGAACTTGACCTTGTTTCAGGTGAAGACATACCCTTTGATCAAATGCTATCTTTGTACCTAGTATGAACATCTAATGTTTCTTCATTACAAAGTAATGTCTTTGGACAAGAAGAGGGTTGGAGAGACAGATTCCTATTTAAACCATCCCAATCTTTTTTTTTTTTTTTGGATGGAGGGTGTAATGAAAAAGATACATTGTACTTCAATAATTTACAAGCTGTTCTTGACAGGAGAACAGAGCATACAAACTTTCCAAAGTTTTGTATTTTATGACCTTAAATATACCATTCTTATGAGCTAAAATTATGTTTATATTTTAGTAAATGGGTGAGGAAGGCTTTTCCTTATAATGATCTACAATGTACCATAAATGTGCTTGTATTATAGGACTGGTATTACATGATGTGTAGAATATCTGTGTACCTATGTTCTTGAGAGCTGAAGTCTCATGGAACAGGGCTCCAATAGATTCTGCATATTCTTGAGCTTCTTTGGTATTGACCTGTCGACTTTCTTCAAGGTCATTCTTATTTCCCACAAGACACATCACTGCAAAACACAACAATATAAACTAGAAATAGTTTTCTTTGCTTTAAATTGCAATAGTTGTCTCTGTTTAGTATAAGCACCAGTAGCAGTATCCAAGTCACATATAAATAATTCAATACTGGTATAAATAGAGGATATTCAATGTTTTGTAGTTCAGGCCAACTTTAAAATAATGTTTGCTTGCCCTCTCCCAACCCAGGATGAAAAAATTGGGTCGGTAGGTGGGTGGAAAAAAAAAATTTCTAGAAAATTTCACCATCAATCCTGAATTTTTAAAATATATTTTCCTGAATGCATAAAAAAAAAATTGCTTCCTGGAGGTAAAAAAAAAGTTTTGAGTCAAGCCATTTTTAGCCAGTCGGTCAGGAGAGGGCAACCAAACAATTTTTTAAACATGGCCTGATTATGGAATTTATTTCACGAGTGGGATAGGATTTATGTCTCCCCTTCCAGGGGAGACATATTGTTTTTGTCGATTTTCTTATTAAGGTCTTCCGACTTCCTTCGGAAGACCTTATTGTTTTCTGTCTGTTTTCTATTATTATTATTATTCTTTTTTTCATAGTACAGCCCATATCTCAGCTATGCGTGGATCAATTTGAAAGATTTTTTCAGGGAAGATGCATCATGAATATATCTCCAGGGGTGTCCCTCACTTTTTTGAAATTCACTTCCGTTCGCGATTTTTAGGGAAAATTGTATTTTTTAAATGGAATTTTGTCCGTTAATTTTCTCGAGAACGGCTAAAGATATGAAATTGAAACTCACGGACGTGATAGAACATTAAATGGAGATATGGTGATCGACCTTTATTTTTCGTCGTTTATACTTCCGGTCGCGAACGGAAGTGAATTCAAAATGTTAAATTTGCAACTTTTGTGTTTTTCAATATTTTTCTTTGAAATTTACAGGGTTAATAGAGAGTCTTTTAAGAGTTCTATGTATGTTTTCATCATTTTGATTGATGCATTTATTGCAAAGATATGACCGATCCAAATTTTCTTGTATGTTGCGCGTTTGAATCCTGCTGGGGCAGGAGATTGTTTCTCTCTTTTTTCAGTTGAAAATAATATTTTTCTCTGTGAAGACATGTATGATAGTTTTTGCTTATTTTTTAAAGCTTTGTTTACAGAGATTCTACAGAAATCCTTTAATAATTATGATCTATGTTGAAAGACTGTGTTACATAAACGCAAACGAAAAATACCTTCAATAAAGTATTAAATGAAGTGAGATAACATAGCGTTCTGGAGAAAAGTTCAGTCGGAAGACCACTTGTTGCCCTAGCAACAAGAAATGCTTCTAGTTTTTCTTCTTCTTCTTCATCCAAATTTTGTCCAGGCCGTAACTTTAATACCCTTTGACATTAAGACTTCAAACTTGGAACATAGATAGATGACATTGAGAAGGAGTGCACGCCACCAACATTTTTGACCTTGACGTATTTATAAGGTCAAGGTCAATCTTTTATATCAAAATAGAGTTTAGCCCATAACTTGAGATCCCTTTGATATTAGGACTTCAAACTTGTAACATAGGAAGAAGACCTTGAGACAAAATGCACTGCATTAGAATTTTGACCTTGACCCCTTTCTGCCTTCAAGGTCAAATAGGGAAAAAACACGATCTGACCATAACTTGAGAACCTTTTGACATTAAGACTTCAAACTTGGAACATGCAGATGTGGTATAAAGGAGGGATGCATGCCACCAAAATTTTTGACCTTGATTCAATTATATTAGGTCAAGGTCAATCTTTTACATCAAAATAGAGTCCAAGCCATAGCTTGAGTACCCTTTGATATTAGGACTTCAAACTTGTAACATAGAAAGAAGACATTGATACAAGATGCAACACACCAAAATTTTTGACCTTGACCTCTTTTCTTCCTCAAGGTCAAATAGGGAAAAAACTTGATAGACCATTACTTAAGAATCCTTTGTTATAAAGACTTCAGACATGGAACATGCAGAAGTGGTATGAAGGAAGGATGCATGCCACCAAAATTTTTGACCTTGATCCAATTATTATAATGTCAAGGTCAATCTTTTACATCAAAATAGAGTCCAGGCCTTAGCTTGAGTACCCTTTGATATTAGGACTTCAAACTTGTAACATAGAAAGAAGTCATTAATACAAGATGCAACGCTTCAAAATTTTGACCTTGACCCCTTTCTTCAAGGTCAAATAGAGAAAACATGACTAGACCATAACTTGAGAACCCTGACATTAAGACTTCAAACTTGGAACATGGAGAGGTGGTATAGAGGAAGGGTGAATGGCAACATTTTTTCACCTTGACCTATTAATAAAGTCAAGGTCAATCGTTTACATGAAAATATAGTATAGGTCATAACTTGAGAACTTTTTGACATTAGGATTTCAAACTTGGAACAAGGAAAGACAACATTGAGACTAAATGTACTGCATCAAAATATTTGACCTTGACCACTTTCTTCAAGGTCAAATTAAGAAAAACACAACCAGACCATTACTTGAGATGCGTTTGACATGAAGACTTGAAATTTTGTACACAGAATTTGAGTTGAGATGCACTGCATTATTATTTTTGACCCTGATCATATATTTGCACTCGTTAATGTTGGTAAAGAAGGAGAGACGTGTTTTTTTGTAAAAAAAAACAATACTCACTAGTTTTTTTTTTATATTTTCATGAGTGCTTATGTACAGCATTAAATACACCATATTTTTGTACTGATAGGAATCATTTCAATGAATTTTGCATCAATTTAATACTGTATGTCAAGTAAATTGTGTGAACTAAGCAAAATTATTTCAAATGTAGTTTGAATTCAAAGAATGTGATCACATATTTATTATTTTTCCATACTAGTCACCAATACAATCTTAATTGTTTTTCTGTAACACTTTGACAAAAACTAATTCACTTACCAATTGGTGTGTCAACATTCTTTTTCAGCTCTGAAAATACATGTGCTTGTGTAATGATTAAGTAAACAAAGGCACCTACATGTTCATGTAGCATAATATTATTGCATGAAAATAAAATGTGAAATGTGTAGTCTCTGACAAGATCTTTACTGAAAATTATTAGAGGAGAAACTTTAAAAATTTGTTTGCAGGTAGACAGAGGAGCAAACTCAGTACCTCTGGTCTTAGACCAGTCAGGCTGTTAATTACTGGTATAAATCTGAGATTCCAGTTTGACAATTACTGCTGAGTTTGGCAATGTAATGACTTAGCACTGACCCAGTCTTTGAGTTTGGCAATGTAATGACTTAGCACTGACCCAGTCTTTGAGTTTGGCAATGTAATGACTTAGCACTGACCCAGTCTTTTGAGTTTGGCAATGTAATAACTTAGCACTGATCCAGTCTTTTGAGTTTGGCAATGTAATGACTTAGAACTGACCCAGTCTTTGAGTTTGGCAATGTAATGACTTAGCACTGACCCAGTCTTTGAGTTTGGCAATGTAATGACTTAGCACTGACACAGTCATTTGAGTTTGGCAATGTAATGACTTAGCACTGACCCAGTCTTTGAGTTTGGCAATCAGGAGTTTGGCAATGTAATGACTTACCACTGACCCAGTCTTTGATGTCATAGAAACTGTCTTCTGATGTGATGTCATAAATCAACATGGCTGCATTGGCCTTCCTGTAGTACATGGGAGCCTATAATACACAAAGATGGATCAAATCTTCAGTGTATTGATTATGTTTATGCTTGATATTATTTTACAAATGACCGGCCACGGTAGCCTAGCAGTAGGGTGTTCACTTTTTGATCGTGAGGCCCGGGTTTGATTCTTGTTCGTCGTGCCCATCAAACCTAAGACGTAAACATAGGTAGTGACTGTTCCTTTGCTAAGCACCTGGCATTAGAAGTGAAAGTCACAGGTCTTTTGGATGAGACCTTAAAAACTGAGGTCCCGTGTCACTGTAGGCGTTAATAAAGAACCCTCATTGCTCAATGGCCCTGAGTGCCGAGTACAGGTCTATATTTGAAGCCCTTCACTGGCATATGTTGACGTTTCTCTATGAGTGAAAAATTCTTGAATGGGATGTTAAACAACATACAATCAATCAATCATATTCCAAATCATAGTATTTTTGTTCTTTGAACAAGTCTACATTCATATGCAACTCCTGCTGTGTTCAATATAAACTCATACAGGCAGCTGAGGCTATATATGAATTGTCCAGCTTACTTGAGGAGACTTCAATTAAAATGAGAAACTGAAGTTTTTCATTCCTGATAAAGAGTATTTCTGCAGATTTACCCTTTATATCCTTCTGTAAATTTTGATTGTATGTTGTGTCGTCACCCTTTTATTACATTATTTTGTCACCTTAAGTCACTAAAAATGATAAATTTCTCTGAAAAAGTGTCATCAACCTTCCACACCCAGTAGTTATCTTGACTGATTCTTACATCAGAGTTGTAACACAATTACTTGTCAGTATACTACATACCATTGATCTAAACCTCTCCTGGCCTGCTGTATCCCACACTTGTAGTTTCATCCTGTAGTTGTTCAAAGTTCTGAAAATATATGCAGAAAAAATGAGTTTAATTAAAAATATTAGTTCAGCAATGGTAAGTTATTTAGATTATTTAGATCTTTTTACTGCTCTTCCTTTTTTAAAAAAAAATTACACAGTTCATAATCATGATGATAATCTTGGTAAATGTAGACTTGTATTTTGAAAGTGAGCTTATTTCAGCCAATTCATATTTTGATGCCTTTGGCACACCCTTTGGTTAAATTTAAATTAACTGTCAAAATATTATTTTTAAAATATACATGTAATTCTTAGAATTACTGATTAATGATTGCATCAAATTATCCATGGCCAATATTGACAGTAAATTTGAATTCCTATTATACATATTAAGTATATTACTTACAGTTTGTATGTGAAAAATGAAGCTCCAATAGTTGGGCTGACAGCTTTGCTGAACATTCCCCCAACATATCGAATTACAGTACTTGTCTTACCTACCGCTGTAATATAAAATAACAAAATGTGTTTGTGAAACACTGATCCTCCTATGGCAGCTCAAAACCAAGATTTCTCAAATGCAAATCAAACTCAAATTTTGGTTAAAAGTTCAAAAATGTAAGTACCCAAACAAAGGTCTTGTCACAAGGAATATGCATATGAAATATGAAAGACCTTGCACCAACCATTGAGAAATTATGATGAAGGTTAAGGTTTTTCAAAAGTAGGTCAAACTCAAAAGTCAATGTCATGATGTCAAAAATATTGGCACCCAAAGAAAGGTCTTGTCACAAGAAATATACATATGAAATATGAAAGCCCTAGCACCAACTGTTCTAAAGATATGGCCAAGGTTAAAGTTTTCCAATAGTTGATCAAACTGCAAGGTCTGGATTAAAAGGTAAAAAATTTTGGTACCCTAAGGAAGGTCTTGTCACAAGGAATAATCATGTGAAAATGAAAGCCCGAGCCTTAACCATTCAAAACTTATAACCAATGTTAAAGTTTGGTAAAATTCTACAAAAGTGGGTCAAACTCCAATGTCAAAAGGTCAAATATGTTGGTACACAAAGAAAGGTCTTGTCACAAGAAATAAATAAGTGAAATATGAAAGCACTATATCTCATCTCCAACCAATCAAAAGTTATAGGCAAGGTTAAACTTTTTGCAGGCAAACAGACAGACACAGGTGATCTCATCTTTTACTTATTACCTGTGGGCAAACTTGCTGAAATATCATTGTAAATTATGCTAATTTTATTTTATCAATTATAAACAACCAATCAGAATGTTGGAACTCTTCAGTTTTGAAAATAAGTTTATTAGTTTGCTATTTATGCTAAATACATGTATCTTGATGCCCATTAAAATGTGCGAATATTGTCTTAAAACGATTAAAGAAAAGTTGTACAGGTCACTGACATCAAATACCAGTCAAAAATTATATGGGAGTACCTTTCTCAAACTGTGAAATGCACTGGTGAGTGGATTTATTTGCAATTAGTTTGTTAACTATACGGAAAAGTTTTCGTCATTGTCGTACATACATATGTAACATAAACTTCGATTCATTGATTTGCCATCGCGACTCTGTGCAGCATCCAATCAAATGACCCATGCATATTAATTACATACGATGATTTTTCAGCGAGTTTGCCAACAGGTAGTTAGCAAAAGACGAGATCACCCATGGGTATCTGAAGATGACAGATAGAGGGACAGATAAAAAACTATGTGCCCCAGAATCTTCAATTATGGCCACTTGGCATAAAAACAATTTTACACTGTCGATCTGTCAGTGTTAATTTTACTAATGCTTGATTTCTTCTCCAGAACTACTGGGCCAATTCCAACCAATCTTGGCGTAAAGCATCCTCAATGGGTGAATGGGATTCAAATTCATTCTAATGTGGGGCCACGCTATTTTCAAGGGAAGATAATTTAGAAATCGCAAAAATTTAGTAGGGTCACAAAAGGGCCCAAAGCTTGACATACAAATGCATATAGGTATCAGAGAAATTTCTTAAAAAATCTTATGAAAAAAAAACTGCAGGGCCTAACTTACTCTTAAAACTTAACATCAACAAAGAAAAGCAAATACATAATAGGCAAATGAATTCAAGACTGAGGTAGATCAAAATCAATCAAAAGTTGACGAATCACTGGTACTATTATGGCTGACCATAGATCATCTGTTGCCTTTTGAAATTCCTTTTTTTGTTACATGTATTCTTTGAATTAAAGACACTAATGAAAAAAAATTGACTTCTTCTTCTATTTACAACAAAACTTCAGAGCGCTGAAGATTACTTGCTGGTGCGCATGCGTGACCTAAGCAAACTAATATAAAGAAAAAACTGTGCTTTTATTTACATTTGTGATTAAAAGAAATATGTTACTTTTTACATGATACTGTTGAGGACAGCTGGGGTTAGCTGTTCTCTAAAAATTTCTACTTTAGTGGCTTGGACAACAGACTGGGGAAGCAAATTCCATTGTATTATAGTTTGTGGAAAAAAGGACCATTTGTATGTTTCTTTTGATGCTTGTAAGTGTCTGTATGTTTGTGTGTGATTTTGTCTGGTTCTTGCATCTGTAGGTATGAGTATGTCTGTGGGTATAGCAACAAGTTGATGAACTACCTTGTAAAACATTATTAATCTGGTTTTGAGGCGTCGCTCAGCTAGTGTTGGCCACTGTAGTGTACTAATCATGTCTGTAACGCTACTGGTATTGTGGTAATTGTTATGTACATAGCGAGCCGCCCTTCTCTGAACCATTTCAAGTTTTTGTCTATACAGTGTCGTATGTGGATCCCAAACACTACAACAATACTCGAGTTTAGGGCGCACTATTGCTTGATAGGCTCTGGATTTTACTTCTGTGTTTGAAATTTTCAGATTTCGTTTAAGGAATCCTAATGATTTATTTGCATTTGCAATAATATTGTCATAATGTGTGTTCCACTTTAGATTTGACTGTAATGTTACACCTAAATACTTGGCTGAACTTACTGACTCAAGTACATGATCATGTAGAATGTAATTTTGAGAATATGTCCGTTTCTTATGAGAGATGGTAAGTTTAGTACACTTGTCTGGGTGGAAAGCCATAAGCCAATCAGACTCCCACCGTGCAGCTGCATCTAGATCTAATTGTAGTTTGTGACAGTCTTCTGGTGTTTTTATTTCTTTGTAGATGATACTATCGTCAGCAAAGAGCCTTAGTTTACTATGATGGAGATATTCAGGGAAGTCATTTATATAAATAAGAAAAAGGATAGGTCCAAGGACTGTTCCCTGGGGCACTCCAGAAGTGACAGATACATGAAATGATACAGAATACTCTAAAGACCTAATTTATGGAGATTTTAATAAGGTTAAGATACTGTTTAAAAAATATATAGTCATCAAAATCTACCAGATAAATGTGAACAAAATAAACGTAATTACCTTGAGAACCTAGAACTACAACTTTCGCTTCAATAGATTTCATTTTTTATCTGTTCACTTCATCATACAAGTTCAATTATCATAAAGCAATATTCAAGGTAATTAACTGGCTAAAAAGAGAAAAAGTCGCAGTGTTTAAACCGTCATCGAAACGGAACTGAAAGTTCAACCACCATTTTGTGATCACGTGATTAGAATTGCGAAAATAAAACAAATCCTGTTTGTATAAACCATTGCAAATGCATTATCTTAGACTGTTCATTTTGTTAAATTATTAAAGAAAAGATAAACAATTATTATTGAAATATATAAAACCATATTCATGAAAAATTGTCGGCATAATTTTCGTACTTTGTTGCAAGCATGTCGGAGGAGATAGAAAAAGCACAACTTGCAAAACCTGGAGGCGATACAATATTTGGAAAGATTGCGCGGAAAGAAGTACCATGTGAATTTATTTATGAAGACGACCAGGTATTTTTAATTACCAATGCCAAAACTCCAGTTTCACATGTGTGCTACAACTGTCATCTTCGCTAGCCAAGGGTTTCTGATACGCTACTCTACTCATAAACCCTTGGCATACGGTGCTGACAAAAGACGGGATTGTTTTTGTCACGTGATCATGATTCTTACCAGGTACGCACATATTGCGTCATCGACAGAAATAAAAAGCGTATTTTAAAAAATTTTGTTTTTAAAGAATAATTGAGTTATGTTAATTTGTTATTTAAACATGTAAAAATGCAAATCTACATCTTCAGTATAGATTCTTAATCACATATTTTGCACGTTGCTTTAGAAATAGGATGACACCACATTGCTATTCATAGAATGGCATGTTATCCTACGGATCATTGTTTACTTGCGTTTTACATTACCGATATTAAAGAGTCAAGATATATCCCGAACGCAAATATCGTCATTTACAAAAAACATGCTGATTGGTCGAACGATGTTGATCAACTCCAATCACAACTTGAGAAAAAAATCCCAACTTTTTTTAACACCGTATGCCAAGGGCTTATGAGGAGAGTAGCGTATCAGAAACCCTTGGCTAGCGAAGATGTACAACTGTATCATGCATGGAAGTCTTTATTCTCTATAGAGAAGTGGGCAGGCTTTCGCCTACATCCACTTCTCTTCGCAAGTCTTCATGTTTTGGGGAATACCTAATTGAAGACCTACAGGTAATTGAAGACCTACGGAAGACCTAGGGAAGACGTACAAAAATATGGGCTATATACAGCAAAACTGATGTGATATTCTGATTAATCATGTTTTAAATATATAAAATACACAAAAAAAATTTATAAAAAGAAGTTTTAAAGTGTATTTTTAAAACTCGATATGGGGAACTATTTCTTCTCTCAGACGACCTACACAAGAACGATAACTCGCGTAAATAACAAATCAGCTGTTCACCAAAACATATCAGAAAAATGTAAACAGTTAAATGAAGAAAAATAGAATTATTGAAGATATTTAAAAATAAATACATCAAAGATGAAATAATAAAAGGGAATATTCAATTAGATATTATTATTTTTTTTGTAAAAAATATAAATAAATAAAATAAAATAAAAAAACCCAAAAAACTTAACCAAAGCAGAGACATATACATATTATATAATACCATAATTTGATCAATCATAAAATATATGTATATTTTTAAATGAATTATTAAATTGTTATAACACGTTTCCAGATCCTATGAGTGGACCTTTTTTTTTTTTAATGAATTCCTTTATTTCTTTTTTAAAATTTATTTTCAAAATTATTTTGGTATATCAATGTACAAATTAAATATTATAATTAAAATAAATATGTTTATGCTTTTGACAGAGTGTTAAAACTTATTAGATATAAGTTAACTAAAAAAATCTTAAGTAATATTTTTCTTAAAGATCAGAGCCATGATCACTTACAAAATCTTCTTGTATTTCACTGAGCCTGAACAGCAAAAAATAATAATTTATTCAAAATATGCATTTCATTCATGTGATTACATGCATGTTACTTGTTTAATTGTAAAAAGAATTTGTATACTTTGTATGTAATTAACAAACAGAATAATTTCTTGCTGCTATCCATAAATTCATTGATTAATTCTGTATATTTTAAACTGTCGTGTTAATTTATATTTCAAAGAATTCCACTTGAAAGTCTTAATATTATATTCATATTTCAGCTAATATTTATTTTTCATGACATATATTGTTCTTATTTTAAAGATTGTCAACCAGTGCAAGTTTCAGAACTTCTGTTTCCATTTCCTTTCAATTTCATTAATAATAATATGTTCAAGATCGATTTTGGCTATACATGTTAAAAAAAATTATTAATGTTTTAATTAGTATTTTTTGGCGTACATGACAGGTTATTTTAAAATACATTGTGTCATTTAATTTTTTTTAATTGTTCTTGCCACTGTAAGATAAATATGCTTTTGATTAAGGGGAAAAAGTGACCATTTTGGCAATTTTTTTTTTTTAAATGTGGTCAAGCCACATGAAAAACTCATTGATTTTTTTATTTCTTCACTTAATAGCTTTAAAAAGTTATTTTATATTAAGAAATCTAATTCTTTCATGTAGCAGAGACAATGAGTGTCTCTGGAAGAAGATGATATCATTCAAAGATTTTTTAAGATATATCTTTGCTATGTTGACTGTAAATTAACTTCATCAGAGCAAGTGGGGTATGTTGATAATTGCAATCAAAACACGGATATATATATCCTCAGGGTGTGTATATAACACATTAGTGTTGAAGCCTTTAGTTCAGAGTGATATCTTACTTTACATGATTTATGACAAATCCACAGTATACATATCAATATTTCAGATTAGAATATATAATATTTATCCCATAAAACATATTACATGTTTGAAGAATTGCAATATTAATTAAATATTGACTATAATAGATAATATGACTATACATCTGATGTGAAATAATTATTTTTATATATAAATCTCATCAAAATTCATATTCCAGCTTATATCTTTATTATAAACATGATTGAAAAACTCAACAAATATCATTTGGATTTTTTTTTATTTGTGTATTCCCCTTTACGGATAATATAAACATGTGTTGTTGTTTACAAGTCAACCAGAGTTACCGTTCTTGTGTAGGTCGTCTGAGAGAAGAAGTTCTTCCCCATATTGAGCTTTAAAAATACACTTTAAAACTTCTTTTTATAAAATTTTTTTGTGTATTTTATATATTTAAGACATGATTAATCAGAATATCACATCAGTTTTGCTGAATATAGCCCATATTTTTGTACGTCTTCCCTAGGTCTTCCGTAGGTCTTCAATTACCTGTAGGTCTTCAATTAGGCAGGCCGCATGTTTTGATTCTGGAAAAGGTGTAAATCTCGAACCGGTGACGGCCTACACTTCAACTGACATTTCGTCTAAAATACGTCTGAATGTACATAACAGACGTGTTATATTAACAATTTTAACATAAATACACACAATTGTCACAGGAAAACTGACCTTAAAGTATTGTTAATCCATTTTCACAAGTTCTCCATCCCGGATTTAAATTATCTGCAAGTAACTCTTGAAGTATTCAAAAATCTCTAATTCGGATAAAAATGGAAACTATTTTTACAAAATAATAATGAAACGAGAGAAATCGTCTACTCTGTTTAAACTAACGAGACAGTATTTCCTCAATTTTCGTTCAAATTCTTTTGATCTTTGTCTATGGTCTATTTTCATTTCTATCAAAAATACTTAAAAGCCACAGTAAAGGTTCAGTATCACATAAAAGAAAACAGACTGTAGGAACTCTTTAGTGCGAGGAGATAAACAATTACGTCAGGAGAGCCATATTTTGAACGGATATTTCAGTGAATGTTTTTATGTTGGGATTTACATGCCTAGACGGTAAGCAAGGTAGAAATAATAGTGACAGAGAGTTAATTAAACTACTAAATGACTTAATTGAGGCGAACGGCAGTGTCGCCTAGGTGAATAATTCTTGCTATAGCCGGCTGAAGTTGGGGCTGAATTCCCAGACATGAATTATGAAGGACTGTCCCGAGATTCGGTGGGCGTCAGACCAAATATCTAGCCCAGCCGAATCTCCACCGAGATTAAGTTTGCCTCTAGAGACATTTTCCTTCTCAAATATATTGTTCCAGACGTCCCTGATCAAGCCTCGATCTTTAATGTAAACCACTCATTTATTTCTCAAAAATTACCTCAAGACATATTATAGACGGGATACAAAAAGTTCCAGTGAGAACAAAATCAGAAGTCTCTGAATTGCATGGTTATGATGAACAAGAGTGTCTCTTCCAAAATGTAACACTGATAAATCAGAAAAGCCACAAGTAAAACAGATATATACAGGATACTGAATTATTATCCATTGTAAAAACATCAATGCATCTAGGGCTAAAGTTTATCCCCCCCCCCCCCCCCCCAAAAAAAAACAACAAAAACACAGTTTAGTTTTAGAAAAAAAATTCATTTAAATCAACAAGTAATGTTTATATACTTTATGTAGGATTTTCTTCAAGGCGTATTTCAACAATAATTTGGATACACCAATTTTGATCACAAATTTCATAAGATTTTCTTTGTGAAAACTTACAAAAAAAATTTTGGGAAAATTCTACATTAAGTATATAAACGATAAATTTTGCTGGTATGTAGTATGACGTACTTGATAAAATGTATTTTATGGTTGCATTTGGAAGTATTTTCACTTAATTTTGAACCTGACTTTGTTCTTGAGAACTTATTTTGCAAGTCTTAACACTACATACATATATTATACACAGCGATTTTTTTCTACCCATTGGGAAAGGGTTCGGTACCGGTTCAGTTGGGAAAAATTGCATCGAAGTAGATCAAAGGAGAATTTTCTGGCATTTAAACAAATGAAACGTATTTTCAGTTTATTCCAACTTCATTACATATTACCCAGTGTTTTAAAGAATAAACAACAAGTATTTATTGTTTTTCATATCACTGTCCCTTGTTTTCGCATTTTCATGCTTTCAATTTGTCAAAATGTATGACATTACGCTGTCTACACCACAGGTCCCCCCATATTAAGACTAACTTCTACTTTCGATTCAAGCGGAAGTGAAACAATTAGTCAACTTGTACAACATGTGCAATGTTTCATTTAAAAAGAAATACAATGTCATCATAGTCTGTTGCTTGGCAGTTGAATTGGGAATTTTTAGTCTCAAAATTGGGAAAAATTAACGTTTTTTGGCATTGGGAACGGTACCGTTTATCGGTACCAGTTATATAAGGAAAAAAAACGCGGATACATGGAATCTCTCATTCATAGATAAGTTGGTCTAAAAAAAAGACCTTTTTAATTTGAGCTCACCTGGGTCAAACACTAGTCAAACATGCACAGTATTATCAGAGACATAAGTAACAGATATTCATAGCTCTGCTATTACCATGTATTACATTAACACATGATTGTAA